GGATTGTGAGCATAAAAGTGTATCACATCCACATCGACAGAGAGTTCAGAAAAGGAAAGTACAGAAAGTAGCAATTACTAAACTAGTATGCGAAAAATGTACTTCATGATGAGTAAGCCGTTCTACTAAAACCCACACATTTTAATCTACATATCTACAAATGAATGCTTCTCAGGTATGGAGAGAGAACACCTCTGCTTAAAAAGAAAAAAAAAGATAAAGAAAAAAACTAGATGGAATTCGACTGCGCGCAGTCAAAAATGATGCCTCCGTCTTAGAGCAATTTTACAAACCGAAACGGAAGAAATTTTTCAAATTCAAGTTCAATTGTAATCCATTAACATGTTCTCAGAATATCGTGATTACAAGCAATTTCTCATAAACATATATGACCCTTTGATCTTTGACCTCATGACCCTAAAATCTACTCAGTTCATTGGCTCTGCAAGATTTCCTGAGTTAAATAGTAATCCATCTGTCAGTTCTAATGAGAATGCGTCCACAAGCTATTTTTGCATACATAATGAGCCCATGACCTTTGATCTTATGAACCATTCATTGGCTCTGCAAGATAAATGATCTAAGTTTGGCAGGAATCAATCAATCTGTTCTAATGATAATACGATCACAAGCTATTTTTGCATACATAATGAGCCGCATGACCTTGACCTTTACCTCATGACCCCAAAATCTAATCAGTTCATCAGCTCTGCAAGTAACATAGTTACATGACCAAAGTTTGGCAGGAATCCATCAATCGGTTGTTCAGATAACGCGATCACGAGCTGTTTTTGCATACATAATGTGCGCTGTGACCTTTGACCTCGTGACCCCAAAATATAATCAGTTCATTGGCTTTGCAAGATACATACATGACCAAAGTTTGGCAGGAATCCATCAATCAGTTCTTCAGATAACGCGATCACAAGCTATTTTTGCATACATAATGAGCCCTGTGACCTTTGACCTTTGACCTCGTGACCCCAAAATCTAATCAGTTCATCAGCTCTGCAAGATAAATACATGACCAAAGTTTGGCAGGAATCCATCAATCGGTTGTTCAGATAACGTGATCACAAGCTGTTTTTGCATACATAATGAGCCCTGTGACCTTTGACCTTTGACCTACGTGCTCCAAAATGTAATCAGATTGTTTTCCTATAGCGATACACACTATCACTAAGTTTGAAGTTTAAATCTCCAGTGGTTCTTGAGATATCATGATAACAATCTCAATGTATGGAATTTCATAAGTTGACCTCTGTGACCCTTGACCTTTGACATACGTGCTCCAAAATCTAATCAGATCGTCTTCCTATGGTGATACATACTATCCTTAATTTTTAAGTTTAAATCTCAAATGGTTCTTGAGATATCACGCTAACAAACTCAATACAAGGAATTTCATAAGTTGACCTCTGTGACCTGTGACCTTTGACCTACGTACTCCAAAATCTAATCAGATCGTCTTCCTATGGTGATAAATACTATTCCCGAGTCTTAAGTTTAAATCTTAAATGGTTCTTGAGATATTGTGATAACGGTCAAACGGGACGGACGGACGGACGTACGGACGGACGTACGGACGTACGGACGTACGGACGGACAACCCGAAAACATGATGCCTCCGGCACCACCTTCGGTGGCGGAGGCATAAAAAGTTCTTGGTTCAGATTGCATTCAACCTCTTCCTCAGTGATTCTTCTTAACATGGCTGGCTCAACCTCCTCCCCAGGATAAATTGGAGCAAGAGTCTCTGCTGGTTGATTGAAGAAAAAGAATTGTATGTTGATCGTCCCACCCATGTCAATAATGGGAGAAATCACCTCCTCTTGGGGACATGAATTGAAAAGTATATGAAGTAATTTACCATCAATTAATTAGAATCCATGAAAGTCTAAACCACCAGAAGGGAATTCCTCATCCTTCTTCAAAAAATTGGTTGACAATAAACCGTGTCATTGTTTTCCCCAAAACTGTCAGCCAGTATTATAGCCAGTGCCTTGAAAATATTTTTACCAGTATACTAATTTTATTGTACCACATTGGAATGACTTAAATTACATATATAATTTTATATAATTTCATTCAAATTTGACTCTTTTTATCTCTCTGAATTTTTTTTTTATCTGGTACAAAATATATGTCTCCCATGAAAAAGAAAATTCACCTATTTCTTTCTTTAAGTTTGGCTGGTTGTTTCAATATTCAATACTAATGAATACTAGCCGAAGGAATAAATTTCTTCTCTTTACACAACATGGAATATATTATGTTCACATACACAATAAACGTACATTCACTTCCATTTACAATAATGCATAATATTCTATTTGTACAGCTATACAATGCATTCAAATTCAATCTATACACAAACCAACAAAACATGTAAGAATATTTGTTATTGCCAGCTACCTGCCAACACCTACAAGTATTTCAAGTATTATTGAACATTTACATGCAGAAAAAAGCACAATTGTGAGGGAAATTTACACACATATAAGTTAATTTAAAGTTCACAGGTCAACTTTTCGTAACAATACTAAATGTGTCATTACTGTCATATTTAGTAAAACCCAGTTTTCTAATGCACTGTATACAGGTTCTGGGGGACATGTTTCTGTAAACTAAATGTTACATAAAGAAAATAAAACAAAGCTCTTATGCACACGATCTTCACAGATACATTCTTGCACTTAAATTCATATTATTTGATCAAGCGACAATTCCAGAAATTCATAAATCAAAATCAAAGACATCTTGAACATGATAAGCTAATATATAGTCACACCATTACCGTTATACAACGCATGCTTTTACACATGGTACTTATACAAATGTACGACACCCATGATATAAAATGCATCAATATTTCCTTCAGTTGACAAACAATAAATACTTTTTGGCAGGTTGAAGCTCTCTTCTCAACGAGATAGGACATACGTCACAAATTGATCAAGAATTCAAGATTCTGCAAAAATGGAATCCTTTTCCACTATTGATATTAGTCATCACCCTCAAAGTCAAATTTGGCAAAGTCAGGCGAAAAGCAAACACACACGAAAGAAACATTGTGTGAAGGTCCATCTTAATGAATGCTATAAAGTAGTCAATGAAGGTAACATCATATGCTTGATGCTTTAAAAAAAGTTGAACTGTGCTTTAATCCACCAACTCATCCCTTTGAACTCTACTGAAATGTTTCGTTATCGGTATTTTAATATACCTTATCCCTCCAGAGTTTGCAGTATAACCAGTAAAGCGTACTGTCTACATGACAAAGAAATACCAAATATTGTGGGGAAAAATCATCTATCAAAAGAATACAGTCGCTTATTAATGAATGGATTTGGCCATTAGAGGCTGAAAGTACAAAGTAATGAAAATAAAAACAACTGAAGCTAACAGTGCTCCTCAACTAGCAACAATGCACAAGGGGGGGGGGGGGGGTAAATGGAATTGTGTTAATTCAATATAAAAATCAGAAGGTAAAATAAACAAAAATCAATCAGTACTATTTGTATCTTAACTCGATGCTTCAAAATTGGTATTGCATTGTTAGTTTGAGTCACAAGATAAAGTTTGCACCACAACTTATAAATCAATTCATTCAAAACCTTTAAAAAATCAAACCGTCTATTATCATCAACACTTTGCCCCCTTTCCTACTGCAGCTTGTCCATAACAAAACTTTGGTTTTAACCCCAGATATTCAAGATAGCTTGGTGTATTTGGTGGTTTGTTAGTCAATAATCCTTCATAAATTAAAGATTACATTGATAATAATACAAAAAGTAATCACATCATATTCAAATCCATTCTTCTTATTCACCTCCACGCTCAATAAACAATCATCACATTGATATCTTTGCATAACTTAAATCAGCATATCCGAGCATATTACATCCAAATGAACAACTCCCACTCGCTTTAGTATTTCGCTTCAAAAAACTTTACGCACTAGAAAACTGACCTGCAGCACATAATCACTGACAAAAATACAACAAACCGTCTTACCTATGGGTTCTACACAGCGAAAGGTACATCCAATTGAAGCATTTCATTTCATAAAAGCATCAATTTTTTTCTTCTTCTGTCACATCATTACATTTAGCCTGGAAGAATTGAACATCCTCTGCGGATCTATTTGCAGTATTTTAGTCATTTTTTGGCACAATAAGGAGGCACTTTGCTCTGATACATACTTACCAGTGCACATGCTTTTGTTTGTGTAGCAGAACTCCTATGCATGGTGCAGTATTGGTTGAACACACATCGATACAAACGAAACAGTATAAGTAGACAAATGGTGGATTATCTAAGCCACTTAGTACTCATGGAAGCACATTATGTCATACCTCATCAATTCACTTTGTGTTCAGGCAAACATAACATCTATTCATGTCTCAGGGATAATGACTACTTTTCTTTGTTGTTGGCCTCCAAAAATAGTCTCTTACAACAGTATAGGTTGCATTGGTGTGCGAGTAGATTTGCTAAGTGATTAATGACCATTACATGTCACCTTTTTGGTATTCGTTATGAACAAAACATATGATGTCAATTCACAAAACAAAAGCAGTACGAAATGGTAACAACAAAAAGGTCCATTTGGCTCCCATGGTTTGTCCTCTATCTCATGAAAACAGAATTACTTTCAGTACTTGGTTTAACACACATAATTACATCGTATATTGGCGAAGCACAGTATAGCATCAGTTTGCAGCCAGAAGGGTGTTAACTCTTATAGTTTAACACTGAACTAACACCCTTCTGTCTCCGAACAGATAAATTGGAAAGTGCTTCTTTTCATGCATATATACGTTTATTTTGGATTATTATTCATTCTTGCAATGAAAAAACATGGAATCCTTATTGACAGTTAAGTATAAATGTCATTTTCCTTCCAAATCTTGTTAAGATTTAGTCCACTGTTGTTGTTTGTTCTATTTTCTTTTTCAGGTCACACAAAATGAAGTATATTACGAGAAATAGCATAATGCAAATAGAATTCATGAATCTGAAATCTGCCATATCTTGAGTATAAGATTGGTCAAGGAGAAAAAGTTGCATTGTCCTAATTTCAATTCCCAAGAAATTTCAATGACTACATATCGCAGAACTCACACTATCACCACTTTGCATTGCAAATACTTTATAGACAGGTAGTCTTTCAATACATACAGTTGTTAAAGCAGGTTTGACTGTACAAACTGATATTACCATGCCTAGATGTCAATACAGCTAGCAGTACTCCCAAAGTACCAGTGAAATCCAATGTTTAAGTTGGCATAGACAGTACAAGGAACAATAAACACATGTAAGCTGGCTTGATTTGGGGCATAACAAGGCAAAAGCTGTCAGTTGGTCCTCTTGGAGGTTTTTTAAACATCAAAAGTTTGAAACAAACTCCACTTGAAAATATGCTATGCTATCATATGACCTGCAGATTTTAAAGGAATTGAAAAACCCATCAAGCAGTTTTTTTTTTTTGAGGGGGAGGGGGGACATGAAATTCCACAGAGAAAATGCATGAAACCTAATTGACGAGATTGAATGTCTCAAAAACTGTGAAAGAGCAAGATAGAAACTTTTCCACCAAAAAGTGTGCAGTAAATACATGTATTGATACAAAACGGCAGGATGCCTGAATGGACTCGTTCAGGATCATGTCTCGTAAAATGGACACAATTTAACAAACCCAACTTCTCCTACAGTACTTTACGCTCAAGCAAAATCTTTGCATTCCTGTTACAAATGATGAGGCAATAGTGGAATGTTTGAAATATTTTTTTTCCTTAACAGTATTACATCTGATGATGTGACCTATGTGTTTACATTGTGCCTAGCTCCCAATATCTGATGCCTATCTTGTATCACACGCTTAATCTACTAGTGTCGTTTGGGGGGGGGGGGGGGGGGGGGTCTTAACAACTAACATGCATCCACGGACAAATAATAAATTGCATGTTTATATAAAAATATGATTTGGTGAGGTGGTCTAAATAAAAGAAAATTTTGTCTTTCCTTCTTTCTCATGAAGTCTATAGCACAGGTGCAGCATGAACTGATTTTAGAGTTCCTGGGAACATTATAACACGAATACCATTTTTGTATATTTCAAGCGTAGTGTGTTTAGAAGAAGTACAATCACTGAATCTATATCCACTTTCCTGTTTGACATGATGGATTAATACTGAGGTTCCTTTTATTTGCTGACCCTGCATACTGTACCACCGTCACCTGTGACGGCCTGGTGGGTGGGGGACGTAACTAGGGGCGGGGCTTGTTGCTATGATCCACCACCGGAATCCATCCTCTCCTGACCCTGGGATAGGCAGTGACCTAGCGCAACACCAGCCATCACGTGAGCAGCTGGAAACCCCAAAAGAGAATGGAAGGAGATGAGAAAGTGGAAATGGTAGGTAAAAATGGGACTCAGAGCAGGTTAGGTATAGACACCAGGGCCCATCTTACAAAGAGTTGATATCAATCACAATTTCTTTGTAAGTGATATCAATCGCAGCTATGTACATAAGAGATAGGAGACTGCAAACTTGCGATTGATTGGAGGACTTACGATTGATTTGGATCAATCTTTACTCTTTGTAAGACAGGGCCCAGAGCTGTAGAAGAAGACAGTACCCATTTTACTTTGTCAATGACACACACTTCTTTCTCTTTTCAAAATCTCATTTATGGAGTTGCAGTATCGTTGGGAAATATGTGGATGTTTAGATGACCACCAAATATTTTGCTTTGGGGGTGTGAACCAATTATATAGCCAGGGGAAGATTCAAGACCATTAGCACTACATTTCAAAGCAATGGTTCCCAACCTTCTAGGCCCCACAAACACAACTGACAATCCTTGTGCCTTTAACTAAAATACATATTTTGGTCAATGTCATTACCTGCTGTATACATGTTTCTGTGCATGGATTTTAGTGGGGTTTGACCCAATGAGTGACCCCCTACAAATCCAAAGTGAACCCTAAAATGAACCAAAGCTTTAAGGTTCACTCTAAAGGATGTCATATTTGTGTGGAAAGAATCTATTTAGACAGAGTGCTGCTTTTCCTTCTTGACAAACCTTCCTTCATGTACTTGGGGGGGGGGGGGGGGTGTGATGACACCATTGTAAGATTAGATTACCTTCTCTCTCCTTCTTGCGGAATTTTTTCTCCTCCTGTCGATAGTTGCCACTTCTTGTTTGAGCTGTAGATAGACCGAGCGTAATTCTGTCAGTTGATGCTGGATTATGGCTATCCTTTCATCGGGTTCCTTTACGTTGCTCAGATCTGGAGGATAAAGGAATTATAACATAAGATAAGCAGGCAGGCAGGCAGGAACATGTTCACTGTTCTTGCATCTTGAATGATATACAATTTCTTTACTTTTTAAGAACACTTTTCAGGACCTTTGTATGTGCTCAATGCATGATTTTTGGGACATATCACCTCATTATGTCAGTTGATGCAATACCTTTAGAATAATTACTATTTATTATTCTATCTCTATTTATGAGACTGTTCAAGTACGTTTTCCTTGTAAAGATTATTTCCATCTCCTAAGCAAAAATTATGGACAATTGCATAGGGGCTCTTGTACCTTATATACAGATGTAAAATATCAATGTAAACATACTTTTGACAAACAGACATGATGTCATGATATGACGAGTACTGTGATGTCCAATTTTGATTCTCATACAGTTTCATGCATGTCAAACAGAAGTGCATGAATAAAATGTTAGTTTACACAAATTTTGGAAAGTGGTTTTAGTGACGATGCACACTCATATGTTTTGTGAAAATTAAGTGAATAAAAAGTGAACACACTCACCAACAAGGAAGTTCCATCTGCGCTGTTTTTCAGCCCCATCTTGCCCACTGCTGTCAGCCACTCTTGATGGAGGCAAAGAACCAGCATATTTCTTGAGCGTCACCTGACGCTTGGCTGAGCTCGAGGTCAATCTGCTCTCTGACCTGCTCTCATCGGTATCGCTGCTGTTGTTATTGCCTCGTTCCTTGGCAGACTGCTGCCTCTCAGAGATGGACGACTGTCGCCTCCTGCTGTGCTTCCTGCGTCTCTTGGTGGGTTCCGACTCTGACAAACCCCTCCGCCTCTTCTTAGGGGAAGCCTGCTGGGATGACTGTGTGCCTTTCTTTGGTGGTGCAGAGCTAGCAAGAGGAGTGTCATTCTCTCTGGTCTGCGATGTTTCTCTGTCATCAAGATTTGCTACTTCAATCAGGGCATCACTGTCGCTCTTGTTGCTGCTCTGTTCTTCCGTCTTTATCTGAAGTTCTTCTTCGCGTGCTGGAGATTGCATCTTAGGAGAACTCTCTGGTGTGGTAGGTGGAGTTGTCATGAAAGATTTGCTGGTTCCTGGAATGGACTTGTCATCGACGGAGCTGGTCCCAAAGTCACTGTCTGTGTTATCAGCAGGTGTTTTGGCCTCATGTACCTTGGACTTCTTCCCTCCCTTGTCGGATTTCCTCCTGTCGACCTTGGCTTGTTTCTTCTTTGGTTCTGATGCTTCCGAGGCTTCTGATTTCTCTGAGACTTCTGCAGCATCCGCTTCTGCTTTGCTCCTCTTTCTACTCTCAATGCTCTTCCTTCCTTTCCTCCTACCCTTCTTCTTCTCTGTTGATTTATCAGCATCTGATGCAGAACCCTTGGTCTCTTGCTTCAGATCCTCCAACTTCACCTTCAGTTCAGCTTCCATGGGTATCTGTCGTTCCAGAACAGGAGTATCGTCTATCTTCTCCTTAGAATCATCAAGATCGTTGTTGCCTTTGGAACCATCCTTCCCAGCAACCTTCTCTCCTTTCATGGATTCGTTTGCTGAATCCTTACCATCTCTCTCCTTGTCTATCGACTTCCTCAGCCTGATCTTGGATTCTTTCTTTGTCTTTAACCTTCCTTCCTTCTCTCCTGATACCTTATCCTCTTCTTCCACCTTGGGTGCTTCTGAATCTACTTCCTGCAGCCTGGCTTCTACAGTCTCTGGTGCCACTTCAGCCGTGAGTGTCGGGGGTCCTTCGTCTAAGTCATCATCAAAGTTTAGCTTCTCTTCGCTGATTTTGATCAGAGTTGCAGCATAGTCTTCAGTCTTTGTTGACGCACTGTCGTCATGGTCCTCGGGCTCCTGGACACTAGTGTCTTTCTGTTGGGAGTCTTCACTATCTTGAGTAGACTGCTGGCTTTCAGACAGGTCATCCAACTCATCATAGTCACTGTCTGAATCTGTGGTACAAGGGACAATTTACATCACAAATTAATGATCAATTATTGTAGATACACTGTCAATAACAAACACACTGAAAGAAAGGGTTTTTTTTTTGGGGGGGGGGGGGAGAATTTAATTTTTGCTTTAAAATAACATTAATTATATATCATTGTCGAATGGTAATAATCTCTAATGTATGTGATAAAGATACAAAGATACATAATTGTTCCTGCACAATGACTAGTTCTACCAATCAACATAAAAAATGCTGAAGTAGGTTTTAAATTAATGGAATAAACACACACCATACTCGTTACATCGGCAATTTGAATCACAATTTTTTCCTCAATGTGATATTCATAAACTTTGTCAAGGCATAACTGTGACTCAAAGTGACTGCACTCACCATCAACACCTCTTCTGTATTCCCCAGTTGACGACCTTTTGCCTCGAGACCGTACTGTGAATAAAATATACAGAAAAGCGTTTAGAAAAACATCTATTCTTACAGAATAAACATTGTAACTGATTAAAATATGTGATATCTAAAGTTCTGATGCTACTATAAAACCACACAATTTTATTACTTTAGTGGGCGGCCCAGGTTGTGAATGTTTAATTCTCCAAAATTAATGGATTAGGACACTTAACCTTGCAAATTGCTTGAAGCAGGAACAGCAACTGTCAATATCATTTTACACAAGATCATGCTGTCATATTATTTGTTTCTTAAAAATTATGCAGCAGTGCAAAAAAAAATTGAATTTCTTGACTCTGGAATTTCCTAATCCCTAGCTTTCATTTGTACCTACTAAGGCTTCTATATTTTGCTAGTAGAATCAATGCAGAACATTTATCTCACCATTGAGTCCCATTGCAAATGGTGATTCTGTGAGACTCTTCCTATCAGATCTCATGGACCTCTGTGAGAAGACTGACCCGGGAGATGGGGATTTCCCCCTTGCAGATGATGGAGTGGTCCTTGGAGGAGTCTGAGGCGCTGGAGATGTCTTGCTAAGAGATGGACGACCTCGCTTTCCGGTTGGTGTCTTCTTGCCTTCCTTTCCTGCCTTCTCCTTTCGTTCTCTTTCAGCTTCCTTGGCCTTGTCAGCTAGTTCTTTCTCCTGCTTCTCCTGTTCCAACTTCTCCTTTTCCTTCTTCTCTCGCTCCAGCTTTTCTCTTTTGTCCTTCTCCTGCTTCTCTTTCCTCTCCTTTTCTTGCTTTTCTTTCCTGTCTCGTTCCTGTCGCTCTTTCTCTAATCTCTCCTGCTGTTCCTTTTCTCGCTGTTCTCTCTCTAGTCTTTCTTTCTTTTCTCTTTCCTGCTTTTCCTTTCGCTCCTTTTCAAGTCTCTCCCTTTCCAACTTCTCCTTCCTCTCCCTTTCTAGCTTCTCTTGCCTTTCCTTTTCCTGCCTTTCTTTTTCTGCTCTTGCCTTTTCAAGTCTCTCTGCTTCTTCCTTTTCCTTCTGTTCTTGTTCCTGTCTCGCCCTCCTCTCTTTTTCTTCTTGTTCCCTCCTGTCTGCCTCTTCTTTCTCTTTTCTTTGCTGTTCTTCTTTATCTCTTCTCTCCACATCCTTTTTGGCCTTCTCCTTCTCAGGTTGTTTCCCTTTAGGAGTTGACTTTTTCTTTTTCTTTTCAGCAGAGCCTACAATGCGACTCATCTTGACAGCCTCGTCATACCTATTATTCCAGCCTGTGTAATGGACTGTGAAGACGTGATCCTTGCCCTTCAGTTCGATGTCTACAACCTGAAAGAAGAAATATATTGAAATACTGGTAAGAGAAAACCAACAGAAATGGTTACAGAGGTTTGGGAAACTCCAGTGAAAACATAAAATCCTGATGTTCATAAAAGACACTTGTATTGCAAGAAAGATTGCACATTGCCAGATGTGGTACAAAAGATATTTCAGACAACTCATATTGGGCTCCTTTTGTTTTGAACTTTCTAGTCCAGAACGAATACAACGTTGTAACATAGGATGTTATTCTCTAATCATGGTATAATTTCTCTCAAGTTAAGTTTTTAAACCAATCATTAAGGAATAGAAATTGAGCAAAATGTTGCCATGTTTACACTGAATAAAAACATGAAACATAGAAGTTAAACATAAAACACTAAGCAATTAAATTCCTTGCATACATCTTCCTGCAACTCACCTTAGCTTCGTATATTTTCTCTGTTCTTCCCCTTCCATAATGGACATGAACCTTCTCTCCAACCTCATAGCCAGCACCAGTGCTACAGGAAAATAAATGAAAATGCATTCAGGACAATACTGCCATTACGAGAGGAAAACGCATACATGGAAAAGGTATCGTCAAAGACTTGGAAAAGGTATTTTCAGTAGTGCTGTAGCCGAACCGCCGAACCGAACGGAAGTTCGCCGAACATGGCACTTCCGAACCGAACCGAACCGAACCGAACGCAAAGGCCTGGTTCGGATGTTCGGCAAAAAAAATGTAAACGTTTTTGCAAGCTAATAAACTTTTCATTTTGTACCTAATTTTCATGTTATGATTGCTCATATTATATTTACTTTTTTCCCATTTTCCGCCCTTGTGATTTATGCCTATCCAGTGGTGGGCGCAACTTCACTGGCGCCATTTAAATCCCAAATCCTGACCACGCTACGTCGCGATCGCAAGCCATAAACAAGAATACATGTGCGTGATCAAAACAAGTTTAGCTCAATTTGCTCAAACCCGTTGAACAAAACATTAATATTTTAATTGTAACCATATCGGACAAATTTTACAATATAAATAATGAAATAAATATTTATTATCGTATGGTATTTATTTATTCAGGAAAAATAGGGATTTTATATTTTTCCTATTGAAAATAAAAACTTATAAAAAACAGTTCTTGGCGAGCCTGAAAATTTCTATTCAAGATGGCACCTTGTATGACTCTAACATTAGACAACAACCGTCTCGGAAAATCTTTTAAAAATATCATTGATTGACAAATTGAAAACATGATTCTTTTAAAATTGAAAATAAAACACGATTCAAGACGGAAATACGAATGTAAGTAGTATTTTTCTTCACAAATAATTACGTTTAGAGCAGTTTTTTAATGTGAAATTTGTGCTGGTCGGAAGCAGTGTGCAGAAGTCCTCTGTGCCGGTCGGGCCCGGCAGGGCGGGCGGCCTGCCCAGTCCTGACCGCCGTGGCTATAACGCTGCTTGCTATTAAATTACCGAACCCCGAACCGAACCAAGTTCGGGTGAAAAATTGCCGAACTCTGCCGAACCGAACCGAACACGAACATAGCGTCTGACTTACAGCACTAATTTTCAGACTTGGAAAAGGTATTCTCACAGACTTAGAATAGGTATTGTCACAGACATGGAACATTTTCTAACTGCCTAACAAATAGGCAACCTTTTTAATTTTTTTTTAAACAAACTGGAAATGTGCACACTAAATCTCTATGATCATTCATTTGATAATAATGTAAATAATTGAGGGTTATTCTATAAAATTTTCAAATAGTACATCAAATCAAGCAACACTTTTATACTCGTGGGCGAGACTCTTTTCATTTTTGACCAGTTAAGACAAATATATATTTGAAATCTGTAAGAAACTTACATGTGTTGGACTTGAGGAGTGGGGCTACCGCTTTCTTCCTCCCTTTCACTGCTCTTGCCCCTCTTTTCCTTTCCTTTCGCTTCCAGCTCTTTTTCCTCTGTCTTTTCCTCCTTCTTTCTATCCCCTTTCTCTTCCTTTGTCTTTTCTTCTTTTCCTTTTGTGTCTTTCACCTTCCCCTTTCCTTCATTTGCTTTCTCGCCTATCTTCTCATCGCTCTCCTTTGAAGCTGTGTCCTTTGATCTATCCTTGGCTTTGTCCTCCTTGGAGGATTTGACCTTGTCAGATTTGTCCTTGACTTTGTCCTTGACATTGTCCTCCTTGGTGGGTTTGTCCTTCACCTTGTCCTTGGCATCCTTGTGCAGTCTTTCCTTGACCTTGTCGTCTTTCAAAGACTTCTTCCCTGATCTCTTCTCGTCCCGGTCACTGGTGTCTTTCTCTTCCTTATCTGTTTCCTTGGACCTTGTCTTGGCTTCCCTTGTCTCTCGTTTACTTTCTTCCTGTTCCTGTGATTTGCCTGCATCCTCTCCTTTCTTTCTTGTGACCTGGGTGTAATAACAGCAAAATTTCATGATCAATTATCTCCTGCAAAATCTAACAATGATACAGTTATACCTTTATATGAAAGGAGCTCCATGTTGAGTATCCAAGAGACTTTTAATGAAAAAGGCAAAAGAAACAAACCTGATTTTTGAAAAAAATAAGCTAGAAGCAGTGCATGTAAGTGATACTTCGTACTAGACCATTATGATACCATTAAAAGGCAAGGATACATTTAAGACCCTTTTCATTTGATTAATTAAATAGAAACGTCAAAGGATAACCTCCATTTGTGTCTATCAGAACTTTGTCCAATTTGGCATTAATGACAACTTTGACAGCAGAAGCATACACTTGATAACCACGAATGTCTCATGGAATGTGTGCGAAATTCTGATCTACAAGACTTCAATCACATACCCTTTTCTTGGATGGTGATTCTTCTTCTTCCTCCCTATCACTTGGCTCGTCTTTGACCCCTTGCTTGGCCACTGACCGTTGCCTGCTGATGACTGGAGGTGGGGATATCCAGCCCCTGTCAAAAGACCGCCGCCTGGTACGGGTGAAGACGCGAGGTCCCGGTCCCATTTTCCGATTGAACTCCTCAAATGCAAAGAGGTACCTGAGAAAAAAAGAGAGGAAGAATTGGATATTGATAATCATCATCTAATTTTATCAGATTCATGTTCATTTCAACTGAGGATGCCAAGAAGATATGTCATAAAAAGCAGCTGTACACAAATGCATGAATATACATTTTTCAAGAGAAATTTTCCATTCTGCATTTGTTTCTTGGTGATGTTGATGTTCATACCAATTTTGATTATTTTGTCTCACCGTCCCACAAGACTGACTAGTAAGATCAACAAAATAATGCTTATAGTTGTTATGTAATTGTTATGTAATATCTTCAGGTCTTTAATTTCTAAACTTATTTGCATGGTAATAGGATGCTAGACTTGTGTGGTCAAACCTGCTTTAGCCACTATCCTTTACACAAGGTACCACATGTCTAGTAAGGACTTCATTTTTGTTTTCCTTTTAAAGATTTTTCATCCTTAAAACACGTTTAAGGGGAAACTTGGATATGAAGGCCACCTGCCTTGTAAGAACTTCCTCGTTTTCCCATGGACAATTTTATATACACGATGACTTTGAATCACAATATCTCCAAAATTTGATCATGTACTGACTTGTTGTAGGAGGTGTGAATGTTGTACGGCTGTTGGGTAGCGGGGACTGGAATGCCCATCTTGGTCATGATATGTCTCCACATCTGCCTGTCGGTCACCTTACGACAGCCTTCCTGCTCCTGGACCAGCTTGTAGAGCTTGTACAGGTTGAGATCCCGGTATCCTAGCACCGGTGGCTTGTTGATGGGGGTACCTGAAAGAAGAGACACAGTTGCCATGAATTGCAGTTTGATGACTGATGGTGAAGATAAAAGTCAAGTTGGTTCTTAAACCAGTTCTTTTAATAAAGCCTGTCTGCACTAGTTTGGCCAAGAGGGATGAGACCTCCATGCAAGTTCACTGACAGGTGGTTATCTCATCAAATCAGATCTCATTTAACATAAGAAACTAGATGGAATTCGACTGCGCGCAGTCGAAAATGATGCCTCCGTCATAGAGCAATTTTACAAACCGAAACGGAAGAAATTTTTCAAATTCAAGTTCAATTGTAATCCATTAACATGTTCTCAGAATATCGTGATTACAAGCAATTTCTCATAAACATATATGACCCTTTGATCTTTGACCTCATGACCCTAAAATCTACTCAGTTCATTGGCTCTGCAAGATTTCCTGAGTTAAATAGTAATCCATCTGTCAGTTCTAATGAGAATGCGTCCACAAGCTATTTTTGCATACATAATGAGCCCATGACCTTTGATCTTATGAACCATTCATTGGCTCTGCAAGATACATAAATGATCTAAGTTTGGCAGGAATCCATCAATCTGTTCTAATGATAATATGATCACAAGCTATTTTTGCATACATAATGAGCCGCATGACCTTGACCTTTACCTCATGACCCCAAAATCTAATCAGTTCATCAGCTCTGCAAGTAACATACATGACCAAAGTTTGGCAGGAATCCATCAATCGGTTGTTCAGATAACGCGATCACGAGCTGTTTTTGCATACATAATGTGCGCTGTGACCTTTGACCTCGTGACCCCAAAATCTAATCAGTTCATTGGCTTTGCAAGATACATACATGACCAAAGTTTGGCAGGAATCCATCAATCGGTTCTTCAGATAACGCGATCACAAGCTGTTTTTGCATACATAATGAGCCCTGTGACCTTTGACCTTTGACCTCGTGACCCCAAAATCAAATCAGTTCATCAGCTCTGCAAGATACATACATGACCAAAGTTTGGCAGGAATCCATCAATCGGTTGTTCAGATAACGCGATCACAAGCTGTTTTTGCATACATAATGAGCCCTGTGACCTTTGACCTTTGACCTACGTGCTCCAAAATGTAATCAGATTGTTTTCCTATAGTGATACACACTATCACTAAGTTTGAAGTTTAAATCTCCAGTGGTTCTTGAGATATCATGATAACAATCTCAATATATGGAATTTCATAAGTTGACCTCTGTGACCCTTGACCTTTGACATACGTGCTCCAAAATCTAATCAGATCGTCTTCCTATGGTGATACATACTATCCTTAAGTTTTAAGTTTAAATCTCAAATGGTTCTTGAGATATCGCGCTAACAAACTCAATACAAGGAATTTCATAAGTTGACCTCTGTGACCTGTGACCTTTGACCTACGTACTCCAAAATCTAATCAGATCGTCTTCCTATGGTGATAAATACTATTCCCGAGTCTTAAGTTTAAATCTTAAATGGTTCTTGAGATATTGTGATAACGGTCAAACGGGACGGACGGACGGACGTACGGACGGACGGACGGACGTACGGACGTACGGACGTACGGACGGACAACCCGAAAACATGATGCCTCCGGCACCACCTTCGGTGGCGGAGGCATAAAAAGGGGCCATGGGGAACCAACGGTCACCACTTAGGCATTGTTTGCTATATAGTGGGCGCAAGTAGCTATAAGTAGTGCAGTGTAGCTTTAGCCTGTTTTCTTCTTAATTGCAGCTCCTCTTCACACTCTGATTTGGTTTATGGTCAGGTTTAGTTCATTTCTGCATATACTTCTCCTTCATCCCCCTCTTGACATGCTATTCTTTCCCTTTATCTTCGCTTTCTCCTAATCAAGTATGCTGCTGAGGCAGTAGCTTCACTACCTGGTCACAAAAATGGACTGCATCTATGAGGATTCATGCATCCAAAATGAGTTCTCGCAAATTCATTCAATCTTGATAGCCTGAACATCTTGTTTTTGAACGCATTACTCCATTCACCGAACCTTACTGCATTTGACTATATTAAATATTTCGCTCTTGGTACCAGAAAGTTTTCCTAAAATATATGTTATAAACCAATAGGCAGTGTTAGCTCATATCCTTTAACAGAGTCAATGCCCCCCCCCCCCATCCCCATCCCCCACCCCAAGCTCTCAACAAATGATACCTTACCTCTTTCTTCCATGAACTTGTGCAGTGAGGCAAGCCAGGCATCTTTCTCCATGTCATACTCATCATCAGATGAGTCTTCGCTGGTTTCATCCTCTGATTGCACCTGTACTTGCTTACCGCTCTTGTTCTTCTTCTTTAGCAACTCCATATCCCAATTGGGGGGTAGCTGGCCGGTGTCGATGAAGGTCACTGCCTTCTCGTTGGCTGTACAACCAAAGGGATATTGGGGATGGATAGAATCAATCAATCATAAAATATCCACATGCATTCACTAAATGATGACTTTTCTATTTTCCATACAATTAATTCTTTATATTAATTTTCTTTCATTGTTATTAAACAAGGGAATTATGCAATACCTCAAAGAAAATGTAAGAGTTATATCAATATGATGTGTAGTAATACAAAGTACAATGTAATTTATACATCAGCTGAAGTGAAACATCGTTTTATCAAATCATTTGAAATGCATCTGATCAAAAGAAAAACGTACAATACAGTCTAGATCAAATATGCTGTAAACTTAGTTGATATCCTATATAACTGTATCTATGTTCAGTAATATTCTAACAACTTTTAAAACAACAGTTACTATTGACAAATACTACATCTTGCAAATAAGAGAAAATCACATTATCATACAAAAAAACTAGATGGAATTCGACTGCGCGCAGTCGAAAATGATGCCTCCGTTATAGAGCAATTTTACAAACCAAAACAGAAAAAAAAAATTGAATTCACGTTCAATGGTAATCCATTGACAGGTTCTCAGAATATTGTGATTACAAGCAATTTCTCATATACATATATGACCCTTTGATCTTTGACCTCATGACCATAAAATCTACTCAGTTCATTGGCTCTGCAAGATGTTCTGAGTTAAATAGTAATCCATCTGTCAGTTCTAATGAGAATGCGTTCACAAGCTATTTTTGCATACATAATGGGCCCATGACCTTTGACCTTTGACCTTATGAACCAAGAATCTACTCAGTTCATTGGCTCTGCAAGTAACAAACATGACCTAATTTTGGCATGAATCCATCAATCGGTTCTTGAGATAACGCGATCACAAGCTGTTTTTGCATTCATAATGTGCGCTGTGGCCTTTGACCTTTGACCTACGTGCTCCAAAATCTAATCAGATTGTCTTCCTATGGTGATACACACTATCATTAAGTTTGAAGTTTAAATCTCCAGTGGTTCTAGAGATATCATGATAACAATCTCAATGTATGGAATTTCATAAGTTGACCTCTGTGACCCTTGACCTTTGACCTACGTGCTCCAAAATCTAATCAGATTGTTTTCCTATAGTGATACACACTATCACTAAGTTTGAAGTTTAAATCTCCAGTGGTTCTTGAGATATCATGATAACAATCTCAATGTATGGAATTTCATAAGTTGACCTCTGTGACCCTTGACCTTTGACATACGTGCTCCAAAATCTAATCAGATTGTTTTCCTATAGTGATACACACTATCACTAAGTTTGAAGTTTAAATCTCCAGTGGTTCTTGAGATATCATGATAACAATCTCAATGTATGGAATTTCATAAGTTGACCTCTGTGACCCTTGACCTTTGACATACGTGCTCCAAAATCTAATCAGATCGTCTTCCTATGGTGATACATACTATCCTTAAGTTTGAAGTTTAAATCTCAAATGGTTCTTGAGATATCGCGCTAACAAACTCAATACAAGGAATTTCATAAGTTGACCTCTGTGACCTGTGACCTTTGACCTACGTACTCCAAAATCTAATCAGATCGTCTTCCTATGGTGATAAATACTATTCCCGAGTCTTAAGTTTAAATCTTAAATGGTTCTTGAGATATTGTGATAACGGTCAAACGGGACGGACGTACGGACGGACGTACGGACGGACGGACGGACGGACGTACGGACGGACAACCCGAAAACATGATGCCTCCGGCACCACCTTCGGTGGCGGAGGCATAAAAATCTATCATACAGACATGTAATAGTTTACTTTTTGTTTGTTGTCTTTGCACTTACCTGCTTTGAGAGAAGCTACATCTCCTTTGTACGTATGATCCTTGGACAGAAATGGTTTCCTACTTGATCTGGAAACAGTGTAGCTGAAATAATAATAATAATAATAATATGTCTTGTTTACCCAGGGTAGCCTCAAACAAAGATATTTGATTTTAAATGATTGAATAAAGTGAACTGAACTGAACAGAATAAATAAAAGATTTTACTTTTTACAACTCTACTTGCCATCGCAAAATAAATCAAAATCGATGTGTCACTTTCCTTGAGCTCCTATTAAAATTGTTATATATATAAAAATGTGTCTTTTTAATGCATCTGCACTGTCTTCAACCACAGTATATCTTGTCATTGTTGTCTCTAAAGACCATCTGATTTATTAGAATAGTGAACAGATAGTCAAATATTCTTCCAGTTTGAGATTTTTCAACGAGGATGGAATCATCACTAAAGGTTACAAGTTATTCTTTAGAATCATACTACAAAGTTAAAACATATAATTGTTTACTTAAGATTTGTGCAAAGCTTGAATTGGAGATAAAGATCCATTTCCAAGCATTTTACTTTTATTTCTCTCTGAGCAATTCAAATCAAAATCTTGAACATACATGTAGTTTTATATACTAGGAGATCGAAACTAGATGACCAGTAATGAATGAATTCATGAATATCAAATACTGACTACTTGCTAAGAAACAGCAGAATTTCCTTGGTTAAAAAGTGCATTTCAATACAATGCATACAAACTGAAAGTGTTCAACTACCGGTATGTCACTTACAATTTGTTATCCTTGAATGATCGTGCCACTATATAGTCTTTCCGATTGGTCTGGACATCTTTTGTACAGCTTGGATCAACAACCTTTTCAAAAGGCAAACAATAAAGAGATCAGAAATCATTACCGGTACATTATATCAGTTTTAATAGAGTGATTTGTGCATTATTTCTTATTAATATCTCTTCACAAATAAAAAGATTGTAACAAGCAACATGGAGAATACATATAGAACATCTTTTAAAATTGCACCTATCACAGAACATGCTGAAGAAGGTACAAATGATATAAGACTTAAAAAACATACTCGTTAAATTCTTGCATGATTTTCCGACAATATCAATTACAAAATGAAAGATTCACAAACTATTAAAGATAAAAGAACAAGTGATCAATCAATATGAGGATTTAACCTTGTATATAAACAAGATATTTTATCATCAACTTGAAAATAACTGACATTTCTATGACCATCAGATATTGTGATCGACTTCTCCAGTGTTCAATACAAGAATGAGCATCAGGATTGAATATCACATGTTTTGCTCCTCAGAAGAGTGGAATGATATAACCTTCAAATTCAATCTCTACTGAATATCTTTGTCTTGTTTATATTAAGAAGGACACTTCAAGACCAATGCTTCTAAAATACAATGCACTTCCATGCCTGCTATAGACCCATTGAATCAAGTAGGTGTTCACTCACCAGTGCAGGAAAGAAGGAATTCTTCCTCTTCTCGTTCATCTCCACGATGACTATCTTGCCCACGGCATCCTCGGGCTCCTCCTTACGATGTCTCTTGTTAGAATCACTGTCGCTGTCCTCCTCCTCCTCTTCCTCTTCTTCACTTTCACTCTTCCTGTAGTACAAAAACAGTAATTTCATCATTTCACTTGTCCTTTTGTACAAGATTACTGGACTTTCCAAGTAAAAAATTGTGTGATTTCTGTCATCTTTTCAAATTGCAATGAACTAAGAAGTCAAGCCCAAACAAAGTATTTAAGAAAAGTGTATAAGAGAGAAAGAAAGCAAACAGATATAGAGGGGGTTGAGCATGATCAGACCAAGAATATGGAAGCTATGATTGTCGTAATGATATCAAACTTTCAGAATGCCATGAAAACAGCTTTTGCACTTAAAATTCTTCAGTATGGGAAGTAAAGTCAATGTTCTTTAATTGATTTACAATTAAATGTGGCCCAAGTTGAAGGACATTTGTATACTTCATTTAAAAAAAATATATATGAATAAATAAAAATAAATTAAAAAATGTTCATAATATAGAAGACTTACTGTGAGCGATTACTCATTCTTCTTTTTCTCCTCATCTTACTACTGTCTTTCATGACAGGAGTACCAAAGTTCTCTGGATCTGTCAATGGCAGGTGATCTAAGGTCTGCACATAAAAAGAAAAGAAAGATTATCAAAACATGTTAGATTGATCAATCAATCAAGCTTATCAGGTGTAACTCAAGTGAAACAGACATTGCTGAGGATCCTTCAACGACAAGTGATCTACGGTTTGCAAGTATGGAAAGAAAATACCAAACTGTATAAGGTTGGGTAATTAATTTCATTGGACGTAACTCAAATTAATGTTACATGCTTCTTGTTTTCATCTAGCAGTACAAATTGTACTCACACAAGACTACATAAATATGTTGATCATTATAAAAATTTATCATATTGCATGGTTAAATAAAACAACTCCTCATTGATATCAAAAAGGCAGAAAAAATTGCATGTGATTATTCATTTCTTGGAAAGTTAAGACAAGTAAATAAAAGCACTTACCTCACTCTCATGAAAGTGTCTCTCTCCTTGCAAGCATAGCAAGGTTCTTCGCAGAGTCTTTTCATCACCATCATCAAATACTATAAGAGAGAGCATAAAAGGAAAAAAGAGAGGTTTAAAAAGCTGGATAAAAGTGCCGCTCCCTCACAACAGAATATGCCCCAAAAGACTCCAGGTAACATCAAGTTAACACACCAACAATATTACATTGCATGAACGCACAATGTTAAACATTACGATGCCATGCATGTTCTTTAAAATATACATGTACATGTACGTTGCTGACCAGCACATCTATTTATGTACCTCACCAAACAAATATGTGAGTATGATATGTATTTTGCACTTTTTTTTTAAATATAAGAACCTTCAGGGCAGATTTGCCGAGCCATCCAAGTAGGATACTCAATCCCCCGTAAATGTAGCTGGTATAAAGCAAAGTTCTTTTCAGTAACATTTAATGAATCTTGTACCTGTTGTCGCATTCAGTTTTATTTGTTTCTTCATGAGTCAAGGTGTGGTGAAACAAATCATTCAGTTTACAAAAAGGTGATCTCACTTACCAACTGTATAGAGACTTGCATCATTCAGCTTCATAATTGTTCCATCTTCATATGGACTACTTTCAGTTATTTTAGCCTCTACCTTGGCACCAATCTTAATAGAATACAAAAATGATATTTCATACAGGAGATGTGTAAAAACATGTGTTCAATGAATTATTGTATTGAGGGTACAGGACTACTTTACAGGTATCAAATATTGTCTTTGGAGAACAATGAATATCTCAAAAAGTTCTATCATATAACAAATTTAAAGGGGGACTTTCCCTTTAAATTGATGTCATTTGCAGAGTGACATGGAACAATACATACATGTCAGGTAAGAACCACAGGCTGATCTTCAGGTAAACATGTTCCAGCATGTCCCTTTTGTATACATAAAAGCCTTTTCCTTTGACCCCGCAAAAAATATTTTGTCGTGTCTGTATCCTTTCCTTTATACCAGTAGCTGTAAAAGTACACATTGTATCTATGGTAAATGACAGGAACAGATGTTGGTTAGACAAGTCTGCATGTCTGTGACATTAAAGGTCATTCTGCTTGTCCTTCAGTTAACCTTGGCAGTTAAGTGACCCACGATCAAATTGCATTGTTGACTATGCAATGGGAATGTAATTCAATTTATTCAATATCTTGCATATGTACAGGTACTATGTTTAATCGTCTGGAACACAATCTCTTACCTGGCAAGGCATTTACATATGTACTTGTGTACTCAACTGTCAACAATACTGAAAAATCGTTACGACCATATTTCTATGCATCAAAAATTAACAATACAAACTTGACTGAAGAAGGGGTGTAATTCTCTTTATAAAATCAACCCATTGGTTATAATGAAATGGCTTGCACACTTATCGCAGTAGCCAAGATTCTTACACTTTTAATTAAACTGCTACACAAATTTGATATGATTTTTCTTATGACAAATAAGAGGAAATATTACATGTATTGTTGTTACACCAATACACACTACTGTATAGAACACTCACAGTACAAGTAAATGTGATTTGATAAATTTCATAGAATACTGTTGCCATATTAGCAGAGCAGTAGATATCACTCTTGTGTTTGCCGTGGGTTTGTTCTTTGATGTAAAGATGATTATGGCGGATATCAATCGGCAATGCAACATTTATTCTTTCACAATGAGATGGACATGATTAATGTCAAATCATATTTGAAGAGCCATCCTTTTTCTCTGATGTTCTTCCACACTTGCATAATAACAATGATAATGCTCACAAATTATTTTACACCTCTCCAAGAACTCAACCTTCTCCTAACTATTAAACACTACGCACAAGCTTCATTGGACAAATCTTGAAGAGAATGAACTCATAATCATTCCCAGTGTGCTGATGCATATTTCTAGAAACAGCAATAAAAAGTTTGTTCACATAATTCCATCACATCAATTATAGAAAGTATGGGAATCCAATCCACGTAATCAATAAAAACTATGCCCAAGTTAAGTAATTCAAATCTATACACATGGGAAAATAAGTTGCATGAAATCGTTCTAGGTGGACTGATGGATATTTCTAGAAACAGCATAAAGGGAAATGGATTCAGTTCATAAGTTTATGAGTTGTAGGAGGCATGCTCACTGCAACATATCAGTCTATTCAAAATAGACATTTTACTTATCTGCATATACAACTATTTGTGGACATCATTAGAAGACAATGTTTAGTGCAAATATAACAGCTCCAGTGAAAGTATTACCTCTCTTTAAAAAAAAAAAAAAATCTGTCAACACAACATATATGGTAAAATCCATAACACTGATTGGTCAAAGTTACAGTAATTCGTGAAAGTAAGGAAATGTAGAAGAAGAAATGTAGAAGAAAAAAAAATCTTGACCTCTTGTCAAACTTACCTTCAAATTCCCTATGATAAATTCATCGCTGACTATGCAGCTTGTCCCCCTTTTGAAGTTGATCTGAATGTAATGATAAATACAAAAGTATTATGAATTTCCCTTCATTGCTCAGCCAATCTATACAAGATAGTTGAAGATACACACTTACAGTATTGATTAACATCTGCAAAATACAAGAATGTAAATGAACTAATTGTGATTACAGTTGTTGCTTTCATCTCATGTTCAAGCTCAAGTTACATGCAACAGGGATGAAAGTCCCTAATTATCATAACATATTAATCGCTGGATAGAGATCAAAAAGAATACTTCTTTCTTGATCAAAACACATTTCAGGCTCCTGATCAAACTATGAATATGTGTCATCTAAGCAATAAAATGTTCAAAGTTATTCATTAAAATTAATAAACAAGTTTTCTATGATTCAATTTGCATGACAATTTGTCTATTGGGAGTCGGAAGGGCCGTCACTCCTATACTTATATAGATTTACAAATCTAGCCACTTTTACTTATCACCAGAAGCTGTTGGATATCCTACTGCATAATTCCTTGTCTCAAGCAGTCAGGGAAGTGTTAGCACCCTTCTTGCTACAAACAGATGACTTCACCTATTGGCATGAAGCATGAATGTGTGATAAGATATAACCTTACCTTGCATTTCACCAACTTCTTGACCACTTTGACCTTGGCTTCACAGAAAGCTCCTCTGTATTTGGCACTGACGTCAGTACCCACTGTCAGGAATGGAGGCCCCTCTCCAGCCTGGAGATGAAAAGAAACAAAATTGAATTTATCAAATAAAATGGCACTATCATTTATTCAACATGTGCAATAAATGAATTTTTTAGATTGTATGTAGAAAATGTTCAGAGACACAATGTTGGATGTTGATGCGCTCAAAGTATTAAGAATTAAAACAGAAATGACTTGCAAATTGATAATTGTTTTATCATCTGTCCATGCTGCGTTAATCATAAACATACAGACCACTGTACATGTGCAACATCACAGATCAATGGTAAATTGAAAGAAAAATGTTTAAATGTACTCTGGATCAAAGTTTGATTTAATACCTTGGAATATTAAAAGCTACATAGCCTACAAGTAAAAATATCTAAGGGAGTACATGTCAACTGGAGAGAATGTTTCAACAACACTGGAGACATTGAATTTACCAAACAAAATGTCATCCTCATTGACAAGTACGACTATACTCTACAAAGAGGACTGTACGCAATGGAAGAAGAATCTGATCTAGTATCAGACCTGCCAACCTCTGGAGTTCAAAAACTGTATTCTTTAGTCCCAAAAGTTGTATTTTACTGACAAAAGTTGTATTCGTGAAAATAAACACGGATTGTTACGCGGATCAATGCCTCTTACAGTTTCTACCTACAGGAAGATTTTTTTATTGATCATTGGTTGAATATGCATGATTTCGTCATGACTGGTGTGTTCGATGAACCAATGAACATCCCCAAATTGCCAATGTGAGATGCTTGTAGGATACTTTACAGGACAGAATGGACATTTTGCCATTGAAAATGGCGGATGCACACACAAAATATTAATTTAAAAAAATAAATTTAAAAATTTTTTAAAAAAAAATGTTTTTTTTTTGTTTTTTTTTGAAAATCGTATTTTATTAAGGAAAATCGTACTGTCGTATTTGCTTCTAAAAATCGTACTAAATACGACTAAATCGTACTGGTTGGCAGGTCTGTAGTATCAGACTTGAACAAAAAAATGATCATATTTTATTTAGCTTCTTCAATGCTTGTATACTAGGTTCAAATTATCACCTTTTAAAATTAATTCTGTTAAGAAATACATGAACTTTAAATAATTGACATTCAACTTTTAATTAAGGTAAAAGCAACGAGTTAACAATGGTGTCACACAAAAGTTTCACACAACTGCACAAGCCGACTCTGACTGAAATAACTTCCATCTGTCCATATGCATTCATTCCCTGATATTAAAATAATTTCAATCTTTATTTGTTAACCACATGAGCCATGAATGTCTCCCACACCTTTGATGGGAAGTACCCTTTTCCCGATGATATCTAGATCTGAACCTACAACTGGAGTAAAACAAAACTAGATTAATTTTTGTTAGGGCTTTGTGTAGTTTATCAAATCTAAAATCTAAAGCAAGCTCCTCCTTCCTCTTCTTCTTCTTCTTCTTTCCTTGGAGTCAGAGATCCACCATGCAAAGCCCAGTGAGGATAATGAGGTTTATCATACACACACCACAAGTATGGCCATTGACCAGAGTGCCCATGTCTGTGCAGTGCCCTTGTGTGCGATTCTGTGAAAACAAATCATGCAACGAACACAAGAATTTTGTCTCTATCAAGCAACAAAAGTAAACAATTAAAAGTATGGAGAAAAGTTTATTGAATGACTACACAGACATGGGAACATGTGTGATTTTTGAACAGTCAAAATAACACAGCCTTTTTTTTCTTGTGAAAATGTCTTGTTCTTGCTTGAATTTTGATGAGATTCTTGTCAGATGAAGTACTGTAGACCTTTGCGTCTACAGCCTTACAGGAATATAAAAGAAAATACTTGTTAATTTGAAGTCAAATGCTACATGTAGGTTCACTGACATTTAAGGTCTAGGGTTCCCAATCATGATTACATTTTTCAAAATCATTCAATTATTTATAGAATAAGTTTTGTTCCTCTTTTCAATAAAAAAAGTGTAATGATGCACGGAGTGGCGAGTACAGTCAAGTCGATGGTCGTATACCATATATTCCTACTTGACCTCTGCACTCAGAGAGCAATAACTCATTGATGTCTCGACTTGGTGTCAGCTTGGGTTTGTCCATATTAGATAGCCCACCAATGGGTGGGTTGGTTTTTTGCACATATGATACATATTTTCACACACGGTGAGCTTGTTAGCTCACCCGGTGTGATGGGGATGTGCGCATCTTCGGGTATACTTGCTGTAGTCATCCATGCTGTGGTCGATGCATCGTTGGGTAGTTGTTCTCTGAAAGTATTTTGTAAATAGTTTTGTTGTTGTATTCATGAATAAGTTATCTTTGTCACATCATATGAGGGGGCCTTAACTTAACAAGCTGTGCTTCAACCAAGGTCTCCTCATCTTCCTTTATTCTACATTGTACTGTTATGATTATACTCTATTATATTTTGTCACATGTGTTTTCTGGAAGACAAATAAACTTGATACTTGATACTTGTATAACTTTTTTCTGGCAAGTTAAAGACTTCTCCTTCTTCTACTTCAAGATAATCTGCCTCCTTCAATACTGAAGATTCTTACAGATGCCTTATATACTCGGCCTGATTGGGGTGTGCAGGTGGACCGATACACCAGTTTCCCATAGTACTCTACGAATTGAGCAGTGGGTTCTTCACGTGCAAGGGTGGTGACTCTCCATTTAACTTCCTATGTATCAGAATGTTTTCCACTTAACATAGCCTGGGGAGGGGTACGTTAACACACAACGCAGGCTTCAGCCATCCGCCTGGGTGGGATTCAAACCCAAGATCTTTGGTCTGACAGGCAGATGCTTTACCGACGGAGCCTTACTCCTTACTTTAGTCTCAGAAAAAGATGCCGAGATACACAACCGTTTCAATTTCAAGGCAACACTATTAAAGAGCATTTAGTCAATCATTTTAGACAACATATTTTAGCACTGCACTGATCCTAATTCATGACACAAATGACCAATGAATCATGATCAATCACCATAAATAATCATTACACTCGCAGTCGCACTGCAGTTCGAAAATTAATCATAAAATTAACACACCATTTTATCACTTAACCACAGATATCTGTCTCGAAGATTAAAATCATAATGTTATCCTGTGTAAAGAAATCATGTAAATTGTATAATGATCACATAAATCAGAATTGATAAGACAATTACTGATGTTTTATTGACACCTTTACCTGTCATCCATTTGTTGCACATCATTAAAATCTTATGCGTTACGACTGTATGTGGATTGCAGCACGACTCGCCTATTGCCAGAAGGCAGAACACACGCAAAACAATTCGTGAAATATGTGATATATTTCTTCGAAGTTAAATACTTTACCATGATTCTTTTTCTCCAGACGACAGACAGATGATTTCCTCGGTGTTTATCTTGACTGGTACAAATTCTTGTGGTAAGTCTTTCATGAAACCATGAAAAATCGCCAAATTACATGTTTTACATTGGGTTTGCCAGCTGAGATCAACAGTAGAATCCGCATCTGAAAATCTAGCGGTAATCGTTGAATTACGTTACATGCATAGCGCTGTATACGTTTACATTACACACGTCGTACGTACAGTACATACACAATGCATGTAGACTTGAACAACATCTCTTTTCACAGGGGGTCCTCGTATATCATTGGCTGGACGTCACGTGGTACAAGACTAGTCGATTTAGAAAGGGTTGAGCTTAAAAAGTAATTCAAAAAATATCACAAAAATATCAACAACAATTTTCTGTAATATATGAAAAGCTTAATTCATTATTATTATTAAATAATTCTTGATAATTCAGAGGCTTTCATTTTGCGTAAATCATAATCAATTGAAATAAATGATTTTGTTATATACATTTTTTTTTTTAGCATTTTGGTTTATATAGCATGAATCTCCCCTGTCTATTAAGTCTTAAATTCAGTTCATAGTTCATTGTAGCCCATATCTGTCACAAACATGTGTGCGAACTTCGACGACTTGCCCTTGTTTGTACGGATGTTTCACCAAAGAAAGATTATTTACAGGTATAGTTTACATGAGAGAATATGCATTGTGTAATTTTCAAGTATTAGAGAAGGTAGGTTTTGCATATGTTCCTCCTCTGTCTCTTTTTTGGTGTGAAATTAAATGTATACTGTGCTAAGAGCAGACGAGCCGATATGCAAATTTGTGAACCTAGATTATTAATCCAAGACCCAGTCTTGCGTCTAGGTTGTGTCAGACTCAGTCTCAGACGAAGAATATGTGTATTATTATCATTTTATCAATTAGAGGGATCTTTGTCTATCATGATCATGTATTCATAGCTTATACTTGTTTAAGATTATTATGATATGTGTCTAGATCACTTTTTTGGGGATGAGTTGTAGATTTAAGAGACGGTTTGAATGTCAATGAATTATAAATGTCTGAATTTAGAATAGTTGGTCCATGTTGATGCACTACTCCAATCATCTGACAGCCCACCCAACTTTGGCTCAGTGCATGTTATGTAACAATACTAGTAGGTCTACTGTGACCTATATAATCATAGACTAAGTACAGAATTAAGGTGGTATTATTGTAGAAAATGTTAAGGTAGAAGAAGAAAACAAATGTTACATGATAGTGCAATCTGTTTATGGGGAAAACAAGTATTTTGGGTGTGTATTGTTTCCATTAATGCAGACACTTTTAAGTCTCTGTTCTTGTTTTGGCCTTAATTTGGGGTGTTTTTTCTTTTCTTTTTTCTAGAGTTAAAAAAATATATATAGTAAATTGAGCCGTATTCTTGAAGCAAGAAAAAAAATTAAAAATATTGATGCCATGTATAAATTACTGAAGTGTGACGTCATATGACCCCAAGTTGTCAGGGTAACTGGTTTCAAACAATTTTGTGCTAAACAATGGCGTGGTGACCACATCAGCGCCAAACATATTTGCCCTTCTCCAGTCCGTTACTTGCATGATGTCGCAGTGAACCTCATGGGCAGACTGATGTTTGGAACCAGTAACCGAGACGATGAGCGAATATGATGTTAGCACTTCGTTATCAAGACTAAATTACTCCGTCTTACAAAAAAAGTAATAGGCCTAATCTGTAAAATAGAAATTAAAATGGGCATTGACTGGCATATAGCTTTGAAGATCATGTTACAGTTTCTTCCCAATTTACAGACTGCCATCAATTGTCATTGGCTGCCCCTTTTGTTAGCATTTCAGTGATGCATCACATAAACAGTCTAGTCTACCTATAATACATGGACCTGAGCCATAGTCAACACATGAATCTAAAATATTAAACTTGTAGCAATTGTTGGAACTTTATCTCTGAAATGTATATTACTTGGAAATTTTATTTGTTGCTGATTGTCTGTGTATTTTTTTTTTTGTTTTTTGTCTACAGTTCCATATTTTTCTACTCTTAATTAATTTTACAAATCTGCCTTGAACTTTCAGATGAAATATTTTTCTATTTGAATCATTTTTATATCACACAGAGTTGGAGCTGTCTGGTCACCATGAATAGCTGAATAGTGATGGCCCTGTCTCAAGTTTGCATTGAAGTAAGATTTTAGACATTAAATTTTTATGATGATATTGTGGTTGATACTAAACCTGTCACCCCTAAAAGGAATACTCACATAATAAAAAAAACAAGGTCTTTGTGTAGAAGATGTTGTTATGTTTACTTTCAGGACGATCTAAGCCATAAATACCAAAAAGACCATATATTCAGCGATGTGCTGGTATCCATGAAAGTGGCCCATTGGTCTCGGATTCTGGCATTTAAAAAAATCTCAGTTCTCTATTTCTGACATTTTATGTTTCAATCTCGATACGGACACCAAGCTCATTGTATCATCACTGCAGACTTTTGCAGAGCATTTTGTTGTCTTTCCCCTGATAGAGATAGCCTGCCCAAGCCCAGACAGGCACGGGATTACTCAGATAGCAACTATTTAGCATGTAATATCTATAATCTAATTATGCAGTTGTCAACATCACCTTGCTGTTCTCTATAAGGAAAGAGAAAGAAAGGTATATTTATATGAGCCTAAATGAATTGTGAATTTTTAAACAATTTTTATATTAGATCAAGTAGTTGGATATCTTCTCAGTATACTTTGACTTGACTCTCTCTCTCTCTCTTTCTCTCTCTCTCTCTCTCTCTCTCTCTCTCCTCCCCCTCTCTCTTTCTTTCTCCATTTGTAGATATTGGAGTGCTTATTGACACATAGAGCAGCATTCACATCCAGTGGGCGGTCTGTTCATGATGAAGTACTGAATGTGAGAGTCAACAGAAGGCAGGACAAGACTCCATGCAATGTTGTGAACTGTAAGTGACATAGGCCATTTCCTGATTTATTTTTGTTAAGATATTGGCCTCATTAAGTGAGTTTTTTGTATAAAAAATGATCTGTTTGTTTGTAGCATAGCAAATAGAACTCATAAGAGAGACTTATTCAATGTATAAATTAAATTAAGATTTAATTGTTAATCTATTTCTTCAAACAGGATCAACAAAACACTTTAATTAGGTACTGTCTCTTCATCATCATTTAATCTTCATTGTCTTTATCATTACATATTGTGTGTTTCTCTCTCATCCAGTTATTGCTGAGGGAGCATGGACGAGTTTGCTGTCATGTGAAGGTGTCATAGGTGAGATATTGAATCAGTCACATGTTTTGTCTCGTGAATTATGAACTGACAATATTGAATGACTGAATAGTTGCATAATTCCAATATTTAACTCTTCCAAATGGTCAAAATGAGGTACTTTTGTTACTAAGCTGTAGTTTAGATGCGACTAACCCTCAACTTTGTTTGTGGTAATAACACTAGATTTCATAACCTTATTTGTATTTTTTTTAATGCTTCATATACTCTCTCCACACTTTAAAAAAAAGTGATTGCAATTGTTAGTCACCAATTTAGACAAAACAAGCACCTGTGCTCTGTCACAGAGAGTTGTGATGAATCCAAATCAATCACAAGTACTCAAATCCAGTCAATTACAGAGTTACAGTCACATACCTCTGCAGGTTATTGATCAATTTCAAACAATCACAACTCTGTAGAAGATAACCCAGGTGGTTCAAAGCATTGGGGTCATTTTAAGGAATATGTTCAAGATCAAGCTGGAATCAGTCTCTTTGGCTGTCAGTTGTAATGGTTAGATAATGTTTGTTGATGATGTTTGTATTTGAAGATGATGCATCCCTTCTGTTCAAACATTCTCCAGATGATTGTCCAAGTTTGGCATCGGTTCTCAGTGAGGATCTTCACAATTCTGTAGCAGAGACTAAAGCACGTGATGGCGCTTCCCGTATGAGATACATAGCGGTGAACCAATCCAAAGAGGATACGTACACTGTTACCATGGAAAACGGAGGACTCGATATTATCCATGAGGGAGCTTGTTCAGCTGTACAGAACACTTGGTCTGAAGTCACCATCACATTAGAAGTAAGTGATCTTACTACCTGGGTAACTCCACTTAATTAGGTAGTTACAGAATTACATAGCTCTTTGTGCTGTACCTGTGCATGCCATGGAATTGATATATATACGGAATGATGCAGAAATATAACATTTCCAGGGCTCGAAATTAGCGGTTACCTGGGTGCCATTGACCACCTAAAACGCTACCGGGCAACCTAAAAGTCCCGTCTTGGCTGCCCGGCTGGCAACCTAACAAAGAAACCAGCAGTATAAACCAACACTTACATAATACTTCACAAATGCCAAGGCACATCCACAAAATACTTTGGCTGAAAAAAATAAAGACTCAAAGGCGTCAGAGCACTAATTACAATGATCGTACTTCGTCAACGAACACGATTAACAGCTGACAATGCTGCCAGCTATCCACCGCTCGCGCAGCCAGAGCGGAGAGCGTATGCGCCATGCCGGCACCATCTGCCGGGGAGCGGGAGGCCTGGGTTTGCTAGCTAGCGCGCTAGCTCGAACTCCGATCATTCAACGCACGCGCTCGTCATAGATACCTAACTTAATAATACGTACGTAAGCCCTCGCGCGTACAGTATCTAATACCATACCCCCCCCCCCCCCCCCCCCCCCCCCCCCCCCGGCCTGGGGTTACAATTAATTCTTTATGATTATTCCTCTGTAGTTTGCATGGATTTACATTTCGTAAATAATAAATATAACTAATACAAATCAATGTTGAACAAATTTTGTCTTTGATTTCAAACTATACTTTGCCTTACGTACATGACGATACATGATGCATGTGAATGAAAGTGAATGTGAGTGACAATGACAATACAATGACAATGACAATGACAATAACAATAACAATGACAATGACAATGACAATGACAATGATTTTTTATTTCTTTAACGGCCCCTTCTGAGTGTTAATTGACAACGAGAAAGTCTAAGAGAAAGAAAGTAATAAGCAAGATCATGTGGCGTTACATGAATGTATCGAAACCGAATGAAGAGGGTGCAAAAAGAAAGGCAGACAAGGACAAAGAGTATGAGGAAGAGAAAAGATCAAGGAACTACCGAAAAGTATGGGAGCATGATCATAAGTGGTTGAAATATGATGGAGAGAAAGGAGAAATGTTCTGCCAGATTTGTCGGGAGGCAGGTATCATGGGTGAGCCAGGCAAGAAATTCAATGCGTTTTATCACGGCAGCACCAGCTTCAGGCTTAACTCGGTGAAAAAGCATGGGGAGAGTGAAAATCACCGCAAGGGAGTCGGCATTATGAGAGCTAGAAGGGCTGAGCCTGGAACATCGAAGGCCGAAAAGATGATTCATCTTCTCAACGAAAAAGCCGTTCATCGTCTGAAACATCTTTTCAGAAATGCCAACGCAATCGCTAGACACTGCAGACCTTTCACTGACTTTACGTGGATGTGCTCGTTGGATCGAGCCAAAGGACTCGACGTGGGAACAACGTATCTAAATGACCGTTCAGCTCAAGTGTTCGTTCATTTCATTGCTGAGGTACGTAAATTGTTCTTAAAATTACTACATTATTGTATTTAGAATTATAAAGTGCCTAGATCTATTTAATTATAGCATTAACGTACCTTAAATTTCCACGCAAAAATAAGTTTAAGTACGAGAGAATGAGAGATCGGATTGGACACCGGCCGGCACCGTGAACAAATTTGCATAATTATATATGCATCACGTGATAATAAAACTTTAAACACTCGCGCGCGGTGTGAATTGTATATTGAGCTGCGATTGGCTAAGTAAAGATCACGTGATGTCGTGGATATTCATCAATCGAGTGAAAATTCCTTCCTTCTCGATCTCGCATCGAAGATACGGTTACTATTATTTTCGTTACCGGAACGCCTTCTGTGCTGGGAATCGGGTCGGGGAAGCTGGAATTTGTCACGTGATTTATCTATTCTAGACATAGTATATATCTCTATGATTCTAGACCATCTAGTCATTCTACTGTCAATAAACTCAAACATGTAATTTATCATGATGTTTTGACCCGATCACTAGCTAGCAAAAAATAAATTAAATTGGGTACATGTAGGCTTCGTCTGTGTGTTTCTCTCTCTGATTCACTCTCTAGAATATATAAATATTCATTTTTTAATTAATATATTCAGCCAATCACATCGGTGTTAATTCCAACGGCGCGTGCAGTGCAAAGCTTCTGCACTTACGGTCGACTCTTCTATCTTTCCCAAAATGAACTTGTCACCAATCATTAATTACAATTTACAAGCACGACAGCGCTCAAGGGACTACCCACTTCTTAGGATAAACTGGATAAAAAAAAATGTCATTTGAAAAATATAATGTCCTGCAAAACAAGATATATCTCTCTAAATAATTATATTAAAAAAACTCCTTTTTTTCACACTGTAATCGAAATTATCCCACTCCAGCAATCCAGCAGCTGAGCTCATAATATAACAATTGTTTAAGTGTGGACATGGCGGAGAAGATAAAAGTTTTATCATGCTTGTAACAAGTCTTTTCATAATTGCCACTGTATCAACAGTTTTATCCCTAAAATAAAGTTGAGACAAGATTTTCTTGTTGTTGTAATTAGTATGAAAATAATTATTAAACATGAAAAGGTAATATGCCGCCCTCTCCCTGGCCTCCCTCAATAAAATAAATGAAATAATTAATAAAGGCTGATATCCTCTGGCTTATTGCAATAAAGAATAAGGGCACCAGCTTAGCAAATTTTGCTAGAAAGTGTAATAAAAATAATAAAAGACATCTACTTGAGTTTCGACAATCCCAAAAGAACTACAATATAATTTTCAAAACTTTACTTTTCTATAATTTGTTCAAGTTTGTGTAAAGATAGTTTGCTCTCACTAATCAAGTTCCACTTTCTATATAAACTGGTAATATTATGCTCACTTAATACTTAGCAAGTTACTGCTCCTACATTTGAATAAAATAAGGTGTTCTGTCTAGTTGTAGTAGCCAAAAACTTAATTAATTATGTGTTTTCTCTTTTTTTTTTTTATCAAACAGGTGGAAAGACGCAAAATGGTTGGTCGTGTGCAGGGGTCGAAGTTTGTATCGGTCATCAGCGATGGAACAACCGACTCTTCCATTACTGAAGACGAAATAATCTACATCCGCCACTCTTGCGATGGAACCATTAACATGGACTTTGTAGCTTTGGCAGGAGTGACTACTGCAAATGCTGTCTCCATCTACAATGCAACTCTGCACGCACTCAGGGAGAGGATGGAGATGTCAGAAGCAGAGGTTTCCCGCAAGCTTGTAGGTTTCGGGTCAGATGGGGCAGCAGTGATGCTTGGGAAGACGGGTGGTGTTGCAGCCCTAATGAAACAGCTAAACCCTGAAATTCAGGCCGTTCATTGTTGTGCACATCGACTAGAACTTGCATTCAAAGATGCAATGAAACGATCTAATATGTGTACCCAGTTGAATACACTGTTTCTCAATCTCTACCTGTTCTATAAGAACAGCTCTAAGAATAGGAGCTCGCTGAAAGTCTCTGCCGAAGCTCATGGCGATCATCCAGCTATCCCTACACGTGTTGGTGGAACCAGATGGCTGCCTCACCTCGAACGTGCCATACGGAATTTTCTTCGTGGATATCGAGCCATGATAACTCATCTCCATCAGGTAATTATCTCTTAGTTTTATGATTTCTAATGATACAAATAAATTATTGATTTACTTGCATATTTTTACTTACCTTCCTTATCCAAAGCCCAAACCCACACTCTCATTTTATTATATACTTTACTGCAGGTTCAAGCACAGGAAAAATGTTCTGGTGAAGCAAAGGCCAAGGCAAAGGGCTTCCAGAAGCTCCTGGAGCGCAAGGATGTACTCATGTACACTCTTTTCCTGTATGATGTTGTAACAGTCTTGTCGAAGGTGTCCCTTGTGGCACAGAAGTCAATCTCAACAGTTGCCGATGTTGCAGCATCAATTGATGCGGCTGCAACTACCCTCGGAATGTACAATGAAAGGTAATCTTTAACAATGCAATTACATGTATGCTGTTGGACAGTGTATGATGGAAATAGAACTCATTCAACTAAAATTTTAATTAATTATGCTTTTTTGATGAATGAAATAAGATATGATTTATTGCTGTCCATATTCCTGCTAGACATATTCTTATTCAAATTGTGTTACATTGCAGATTTCAGTTTTATTTCTGGCAGTTGCACATTATATATTATTCTTCCAATCCAATCATGTTTATTTCAGAAAGTCAACACCACACATGCTCCAATTTGACGCACACTTCCAGGGGGAGTTGAAGGGCACTACCAGCATTGAGGGTGGACTGACACAGCTGCTGGACAGTCTGGAGAGTAGCCTCCAAGGCAGATTCCAGGACCTCAATGACGGAGTCTGTGAAGCGATGAAGATAGTCAGCTTCAACTTCTGGCCAGAGGACACAAGTGGTATGTTTTTTCATACACTGACACCGGCATTATAATACTGAAAAAAGCAATCTTATAATTTGAATAGATTTTTCTTTCTTCTTTCAAATGATAATAATTTGAGATACATGACACATGACTTGATAGTATACAAGATATTATATAACTTTCTACCATACAAATCATTACAAGAAAAGATTAGTTGTATAACTTGATTAATAAGTATTATTTCTTTATGTTCATATTCTGCAGAGTTTGGCAATGATGGTGTTCAAACATTAGTGAGACATTTCAACGAGTCACTGACAGCAGGAGGTGTGGACACCCTGAAAGTCAGTGTGGAATGGAATCTCCTCAAAGCGAGAGTCAACAGTGACAAGTAAATGATTCTTGCTGCTTAAACACCCATTTTATCCACTGTACAAAATTGTGCATGTCAGCATAACCATTATGTTTATTCTGCATTTTTTTCAAATCTTGTCGTTACCAATTGGTCATACTAGTATGTAAATGCTGATTTTAATATTTCTATAATTTCTAATAACAATAATTGCAATAAGATACGACAATCTGAATCATTAATGTGTTCAAAGACTTGGAGCAAATTTATGGATACTAATAAATATTTAAGGAAAATATTACATGGATGATGGAGATTAATCATGCAACATCTCTTCTCAAAATCTTCATCATTTCTGTACTATTATAGGAAGAAAGGCAAGCCATGGTCGGAAATTATCCCGGGCCTCAAGGAGGAGCTTCCCAATATCTGCTCTCTCATCGACCTGGTACTGAGCATACCAGCCAGCTCAGCAGAGGCGGAGAGGGGTTTTAGTAGACTGAAGCTTCTAAAGACCTCTATCAGGAGTTCCCTGCTGGATGACAGGGTGACGGATCAGCTCCTCATAATGCTCCATGGATCAGATGAGGAACATTTTGATCCAATGCCAGCCATCTCACTGTGGAACTCAGGAGCGAAGAGGTCAAGGAGACCAGACATGTCTGGAGATGTCCCTCAAGATCCTGACACAGACTTGTCTGAAGATGAAGTAGTACCGATGGACATTAATAGCGATTCATCCGATAACTGAAGTGATCAATTAAACCCCTCGATCACCTGACACCCTCCTCACCTGCCAATATTACTTGCTGCCAATGCCCCTGTATTAATGATAATCAATAACTTTTTTCTTGCTCTGACTGTGAGAATTAAATCTTGCAAAAATTCTCAATTGAATATCTGGATTAAAGTCAAAATTACCTGTGACCTGTGACCAACAACTACACTTGTGACAAAGCCAGGTAAATTTGACTCTGTTTTCTGCAATGACTTCTTTATTCAATTGACATTTTTGCAAGTTATTATTCCTACAGTCAGATCAAGAAAAGAGTAAACCCCCAAAATCATATTTTTAAACAGTCATGTAATAATTTTTTCTTCATTTTTCTTCTCCCATCAATGCAACTAAGCCCTGCCCAATGAAAAAAAATGAAAGAACCTTTTACCGCTTGTGACTTCACAGCCAGCTAAAATGAGCATAACTATATGGTATATAATTATATGTAAGGTGGCATTGATTGTGATAGCTGGATGAAGAAAAATGGACCATTTGTTGGGTAATGTTTTTATCAAACACTACTTGCAAAGACATGTATTTTGCTTTGATCAGATCGAAGGAATAAAAACAAACACTAGTAAGTCACTGACTTGACTAGTTGAACTTGTGAAAGAATATCAATTTTGCTTTGTATGTTTTGTACTTTGTCCTTCGTACCTATTATAAATTGCAGACAGCAGTGCAGCTCTCTTCATCATCGGAATATTTACACTAGTAAACCTTGCCAATTTTCGCATTACACGAACCTCTTTAAACCTATTTACTGTGACCACCTAAACTGCCCTTTGGCAACCTAAAAAACTGTACAGGATGCCCGGCTGGCAACCAAGAAAAAAAGTTAAGTGAGAGCCCTGATGCTAAGTCATTGAAAAACATTGTATCTTCTCTTTGAGATATAAAGACATTTGTTTGACTATGAAATTATATATTCATATAGGCTATATCACCTATAACACCTAAACATGGTTCAGAATTTTTCCCTTATGGAATTGCCCGCCTATAACCAACTACAAAACGTTAACAAAACTGTTCATTCAATCATTCAAAAAATACTCCACAAAGAATTTCAGGAGTACCTGTAGGTATTGACTTGATTATTTTTTTTAAAGCAAAATTTCAGCTCAAATTTCCATCATCTTTTGGAGGTCCCCCCTTCCTAAACAATTGCTGTTCTCAAATTCTTCTGAGTAAACCATTGTTTGGCAATGACTTTGATACATGCTTGCCTCTGGAAGGTTCACATAAGGGTGTTTATTATGCTGAGATGAAGGCTCATAATTACAGTGCCAATGAACAGGAATCCCTTCTTTTCAATGGACATGCGATTTCCTCAAAGCTATATTAAAAGCAGGTTAAACCAAGATATGTTTTGAAAAATTTGTACATGGAGTCATATTCTAGTTCATTCAGCTCTTTAACATATCCCTCATTTTCTCTCTCCTTCTCTTTTTCTCTTTGTACACCTCTCTATTTGTTCAGTGTTCTAGTACGGTGGTGGAGCTCTCAAAGTGCGCTATGGATGTCAGGAATTTCTTGTTCAAGTTCAAGTTGGTTCATCCCTCGGTTAGTGAAGAAGCTGTAATTCTCTATCCTTAGCAGATGGGGATCTAGGAGTTTAAATCCTAAACTAGGGGCTACATGGTGATAGTTTGTGAATGGATGTCGTAGGACCACCACACACCTTACAAAAATACTGTGACTCTCTTGGAGAAAAAATTATATTAGTGTGCCATTTTAATCCTGGTTACAGTTGGGTCTGGAATCGTAACATAAAAAGGGATTTCAAAAGTTTCATGATAATTTCTGCCTTCTACCTCTTCACTGAATATACATCTCAAAGTCCTGCTTGCCTTTTGGGAAAAGGGAAGAGAAATTTTCTATCAAGAATGACATTTTTATTTTGTTGCTCAAAATAAAGGGACTGCAGCCGATTTATTTACCTCACTCATTTCCAGCTGTATATCAATTATTGAAAAGTAGTGGAATTTGAAGAAGAAAACAAAACAAAAAAGCAATCATGTGTGAACTATGAACTCTGTAATATATGTCAATGGTTTTTATTTTTCCTTTCAACAGATTTCAGTTGGTCTTTCTTCAACATCTGATGAGCTTCTCTTGTATAATTTTGGGTAAGAATGATTGAAATGTATTTACTTGTTTTATTTTCACCAAAATAATAGACGTATGCATAATAAGGAGATGAAGATGATAGTAAAAAAACAAAACCAAATCAGAAAGTATTTACCATCTGTCGAGAGCCAGCATTAACAGTAATGAGGCCGGGAGGGGGGTGGGGGGCCATTATGGCCCCCCCCCCCCCGCAATTTTTCTGATTGTTCGGGAACGCATAGGGATGAAGCCCCGCCACTTCCTGACTTTTTTCTTTCAAGTCTTGCGCACCTTTTAAAACCTTTTTTTTTAATCGGACGTACAGTTACTACCGGGTAACCTTTTGTATTTGCATGTTGCATGTTTGATTTGTGCAATTATCAGTCTATGTACCTAACCCTATGTATCTATCATTGAATATCATGACTCATTTAACCCTATTAAGATGTTGAAGATATATTTATGTAATTACTATTTATGCATATTTCTTTTTCCCTTTTTTAGGGAAGAACAATTTGAATCTGCTTCCGTTTGCCATGGTATAAACATGATCACCGACCCACGATATTTCATAATGTGAGTATACTTGTTTCAGAGCTGTTTGTGAAATTTAAACGTTTGTTTTCTTTGTTTTAAACTTTGGCTTTCTATGTATTTTATCATTAATTTTTAACTCTTGACTGCAGTTTAGTTCTGTTTTAGGGAATGTGTAATATTGAAGATTATTTGATTTGATTTGATTTGATTTTTAGCCATTTTATATATCATTTAATTTTTGAATTTATCAATTGAATGAGTAGTATTGTATTTTTATTAAAAAAAAACAATGATTTTAATCACTTTCTTGTCATTTGTAAGGAAAAAAACCCACTTCATCAAATCATACTGTTTTCTTAATTTTAACAATTACAATTACTAATTTCTCTGATGTGTTGTGTTTCATTGTTTATTGGATTTATGACCAAACTTGACTGATGTGTTAGTTAGTTTTAGTATCATTTTTGCTCATCTGAAATTGTTTGTTGATTCAGAAAATAACTTTAGACCAATTTGTATATGGCACATTTGTGTTCGTTTTATATCTTGGACAACAGAAGTTAACACAAATTTCACTTTGCATCTTATTTTGTATTTTTACCACAGTTCAGTTTTGTTGGTTTTGCGCTTACAATGTTTCGTCTTTGCTGGAGATTGGATTATTTATGCCTTGGGACTGGTGTGTCTGGTAAGACAAATATGTATACTGCCCTCTATTGTAGAATTATGATTATGGGAAAAGAATCAGCATTTTGACGGACTATCGGTACTATCAAGAAACCACTCATGTTAAGATAAATTATACTTCTTTGTGTCAAAGCTTTTTCAAATTATATAATTCATTGATAACAGAGAAATTAATGGTCTGTGTTACATTTTAACTTCAGTTAATTGCATGTTGTGATTGCCTGATTAACTGACAAAATTGCAATTAGCAGAACAATCATAGCAATTGGTCTGCAATTCTTTTCATGATTATAGGAGAGCACAAAAGCCAAACCGCTCACAATTTGTGTGAAATACTGCCATCTAGTGGCAGCTACACTTTTTATTGCATGTTAGACTATGAACAAGAACTATTTGTACACATCCAAAAGATTTGATAATACTGATGATTTCATCAGAATATTTGTACTCCTTTAGATGGATATGTGGAAAACTGCATGCTTCCTATATCTATCTGATAAACCTATGCTTTAGAGGATCATGTAAAAATTGTAGATTGATAAAACAAAAGAACATTATTCTATTCTTAGTTAATATAACTTTTCCAAATTGCTCTTTTGATAGGTTTTCTTTAAGCTATATATGTATATTTTTTTAAGATAGAATGTATGACTTGAGTTGCACATATATATTCAAAATGAAATCTATATTTAAGAGGAACTTGAGATTGTGGTACATTTCAGCGCACAGAAGGGAGTGCACCCTGAAAGGTGTGCATATTTCACTGCAGTTTTTTCCTCAAAGCTTTTGTTTAGTTTCATGGAATGAATGTGTTTTGCCAACATACAGCTCTCACACTGTCTACTTTTTGTGTGTAAACCTACAGTTTTAATTGTATTTCAGCTGCTTTGAATTAGTCACAGTTATCTAAGGGTTGTACTCAATTTAGTGAGCTACTGCATGTATATTATTGAATAGGCTACATCAAAATGGCACTCCTTTCTGGGGCTCTAACCTGAACCAAAGTTTAAAAATGCCTTCCATGTTTATTCTGAGCACCCGTTTGCATTGTTATTATGTTTAATTGTTTAATTGACCGTAAATACTGCCTGTTTTCACAAGTTGAACATGATCGTGAGATAAGGAGGGAAGCAAATTAAACCCTTCCCCCTTGAGGACGACCAGCGGTTGAGCTACGTATCCTCCGTGGAGAATAGCGCGGGCATGCCCATTGTTAATTGCGCACCTCCTTCAGCAACGCACCAATCGCACCGCGCTAATTTACTCTGAAGCCATTACGTGTATGATCTCACAGTATCCCCCACGGTCTACGGGGGGATACAGGAGATATGCTATATGAGTAATAGCGTCTTTAACAGATCAGCGCTAGGCTCGCTCCTAATGAAGGTTATTTTCAGGCGCACGGGGGAATATCGGGGATGAACGAAAACAATGATTCACAGGGTCTTTGGAGTTGATTGTTTCCTCTTGCTTTAAGTCCAAGGACGTGACGTCTCCTTTTCTCCTTTGTATCCTAGCGCTAGCTGGTGTATAATCCCTCTGCTCATCCCAACAAAGAGGATTATTTATAAACACTGGTGGTGATGGAAGTGAAAAATGATACGATAGACATCCTAAAACCTTCACATTTCCACAGAATTGTCCTGGATCTGGGACTTGTCAATTCATTGTTCATGTCCTTCACTTGCATTAAATGCCAGATATACAGGATGGGAAGTAGCTCTCCGGTTCTGTTTAGTCATGGATGAAGACATAGAGGAAACGTGTTCATTAGTTTTCAAATATCCTCCTTTATCTTTATATCATAAATATCTTTTCCAATAATTTGTGATAAATCGGTAGCACTGTTGAATGATTTATCATTTATTTCTGAATTAGCAGGATGCTGATTTCAAACTATTGTTAAAGCCAAGGTTAGAGCCAATAGGCTCAAGCGCTATATATGGGGATGTTTTATCAGTGTGTCTGTATAACTTGCCACCGCAGCTGTGTTCTTATAGTGTGTCTCCATTTTAATTTTACTCTTTTTACAGTACTTTAGACGTCTTTACTTTGAGGGCTTAGCTAAAACAATTAGAATATCTCAGGGTGCAAAAATTTGATGAGCAAATGTTACAAAGTTGCCTCATTAAATTAGAAAGAACTGTTACTTTCTTCAGGGTACAAAGATATTTTTACAGGTATAACCTTCTGGTTTTAGATGTTTTGCAGTTTCCAGTCACCCGTCTAGCAACAAACTATCTGCTGGGTTCTTGGAATATGATAAACGGATCATCATCGATAAGACTCTAAACTTTTGATGTTAGATACATGTAGTGGGAGAATATTTTTAATCCTAATATTTCCCACAATGTAATTATGAAATTCCATTTAGATAGGTTATTGCTTGCTAATCATGCCTGAAATCACTCTTAAACAAAGAATATGATTCATCCATCTTTGAATTCTTGACTCATCCGTCTAGCAACAAACTTTTAACTTGACTTAATTACCTGCTGGGTTCTTGGAATGGAATAGATGGATCATCATCATTGATAAAAAGAACAAGGGTCTAGGATTACCCCTCCTGCCATGACCCTCCCTGTAGAGATCAGACGTGCCATTGCGAATTCTTGGCAAAGACCTGGCTTACAGTGACAAGGTTGATCAGGGGAGACAAAGAAATCCTGACCAAGAAAAAAAAAAGGCATTCTTTGGTTGTCAAGGTGTTTGTGGTGGATACTATTGTGTATCAGTAGGGAAAACTTCTCATTCGTGGGATTGAGATATGATTTTGGTTGTAAATCAAAGGATTTTTGGTACAGAACTACAGTTGTTGGTTTATGCAGTTGAAAGAGTACAATCTATCCCATCGCCAGGGTTTTAAAAAATGGCGGTTTTGGTACACACAAGTAATCCAAATTGCACTTGGGTCCTGCAATAACGTAAACAAGGGCATATGTACAAGGACCCCCATATTTTGTCCAGACCCCCATGTAAAAGATTAGAGCAGAACTCTGCGAAAGAAAATACAGTGATAAATGCTCCTCACGATGAAATCATGTATTAAAGTTGGAGGCATTTTAGGAAAGCAACGAAAAACCGAGACTGATGATTTAAGACAACATACATTTTTGATTAAAAAATATAGATCTTATGATGGGAGTCTGCTCAGTGACACATACTGCAATGTGCTTGTTTATATTCCATGAAAGGGAGTAATGACCATTTCAGAAGAATTCAATGAAAATATACAGTCATGTAAGACCCAATTCTGGACACGAATTCATGTTTGCTTTATGATGAATATTAAATGAAATTAAATTTATTTGTCATCATACGCTCCTTCTGAAATTCAGGTATTTCGATTTTTGATGATTGGTCATTTTTAGAAATTTGAAGGCTATTGCTGAGCTTTGCAAATTGCTGGAACTACCTTCAAGAACTGATACAATCATAGATGTTATAGATTGCACGCAATAGAGAAAGAGAAGCAATAGCCTCGCAGAATATGTCCTTATAGATGCAGCACAGGTAGACCAGATGTGAGAGTAATAATTTTTCTTTCCTTTTCCCCCCTTTTTGATTTCCTCTTTGCAGCTCTGACGGTGTGGAGGGTGCCCCATGTCATCACCTTAGCCCAGTATCAGAGGGGAGTTTTGTCTTCCTCTCCCCCTCCCTCAGCACCAGTGAGTCACCCCTGTCACTCAGGTGTGTTGCAGTAGCGACCCTCGTTCCTCCACCGTCACGACCGTCAGCGCCGCTCCTGCAGGCCCAGGCCGTCACCCCATCGCAGCTATGGATATCCTTTTGAAATGAAAGTCACATTCATTTACTTCAGGCAAACGGTGCAATGTGGTTGATAGTATGGTAGAGATTAAAAAGTAGAGGGCAGATACCCCCACTGTTGAGAATTGTTGGAAAAATCTGTTAGGAAATTGAAACAAGTTACCATATAAGGACATTTTATGATATTTGCCTCTCTAGTGCTTCTTTACTGTCTCTCTAGCGCTCTCTCTAGTCCCTAGAACTATGATAAGATAGAGTATTTTAAAAATATTTAAACTGTGAGATATTTTACTGCAGCAACCCCATTCCATCATCATTTTCACAATCACCAACTTAGGCCTAGGCTATTATCTGCCTACAACAATGGATGTAAAGTACTATGGACAGATATGAGATAATGGAGTGTATTGTAATCAATAGGAAGAAGGTGATGTTTGTGTACTCTTCTTTGTTTTCTTCTGAATTTGTTACATTTTGGCAATGTAGCATTAAGCTAGATGAAATGCTAGAGATGTTGATGGTTATGGTTACCTGACTACTCCCAAAGCAAGCAAGTATACATGTACAGGGACTTACAGCTTTATGGTTTAATGGCTTTAATAAGGAACTGGCACACTGAGGAAGCTTTTAATTGAGGATGTCTTAATCATGGCATTAATCCACTTATAAGAAATGGCTTCATTCCCAGGTGCGAAGCATTTTTAGAAGCAAATTATCAGTTACTAATTGCCATGACATCACGCAGGACCTTTGACTTTGATTTGTACTGAGATATTCCTTATAGAAGCAGTTAGAATTTTAATCTTACCCAAAACATGTATAACATGAAACTTAGCAAATTTATTCATCCTCCTACGAACTTTATGTCAGGTGTCTTAGGCTTTATTGCATGGTGTTCAGTTAATACTTGCTGCGTTTGCCTGTCATATTTCCCTCATCTTAATATGATTTCCTCCATGTTTTTTTTTTGCCCCTCTCTTGGGGGGAGTAGCCAGGCTTCAGCCCTCCTGTTTCATCAAACACCATTATATTCACTTCTCATTCCTGTCAATGCTGTGATGCCAATGTTCCATATTTAACCCTGCAACTGAATTTAGCTCTTATCTCCCCTTCAATCATAAATGACATTTCAGCCGAACGGAATGATCAAAAGGCTTGGAGAAAGTTCTGCTTATGTTGTATTGCATGCAAGGTATCTGAGGTTTCGCCACAGAAAAGGAAATTGATTATTTTCCCCCAATATTATTTTTCTAGATAAAACAAAAAAAGGGAGCAAAGTGTAATATATGCAATATAGATTTAATCTGTAAGAGAGTAGGACTTAAAATTGTTTCACTGACATCTGGCTGGATAAAAGATATGAAGGGAACAAATGCATTAGAGAAAATTATTCCCACCAAATCTTCTTTGGTACATAGTGGCAGCAAGTGTCACAAATCCAACATTTTGCCACCATACCTAGTGTTTTGAATTCAGGAAAGTTGAAAGGCTATTTCCGTACTTCAATGTGTCAAATGAAGAGTTTGTTTGTTGCTAACAAAACTGTGATGTCATCCTTCTTCCCCTCTCTCTCTCTCTCTCTCTCTCTCTCTCTCTCTCTCCCTTCCCTCCTTCCTTTTTCTCATTCTCTCATCTCATGTGGATAAGATAGATAGAGAGTGGGTAGAGAACATCACAGACAACTAAATCGAAATCAGGGGGAACATCTTTAGAAAGAAAAAATTGTTGAAGGTCAGAGGAAGATGAGATCTTTAGCTGTCAAGGATACGATGATAATTCATCATACTTTGATTGATGACTATGACGTAAACCAGCGACGGGCCATGACATACTTTTAATGACCGCACTCCATATGTGGAAATAGGGAAATACACTTTTAGATTATCTTTCGAGGAAACCTCTTTTTATCAGCTCCTATGATACTCTGGCATTTGAAATATGATTAAGGAAATACATCCAAGCTTCATTTTTTAAGTATATGTGATAGCAAGACTGTGATGTCATCCTCTCTCTATATTTTGTAATATTCATCTTCCGAGGATGCTCTTATATTGAACCTGTAATACTCTGCCTTTTTTGTCAATGCTCAATTTTCATTTTATGTGATGCAGGCGTGAAACCTAGATTCCTCTTTTTATTAGCTTCTATGAAACTCTGGCATTTGAAATATGATTAAGGAAATACATCCAAGCTTCATTTTGAAGTTTATGTGAAAGCAAGACTGTGATGTCATCCTCTCTCTATATTTTGTAATATTCATGTTCTGAGGATGCTCTTATATTAAACCTGTAATACTCTGCCTTTTTTGTCAATGCTTAATTTTCATTTTTATGTGATGCAGGCGTGTAACCTAGATTCTTCTTTTTATTAACTCCTATGAAACTCTGGCATTTGAAATATGATCAAGGAAATACATCCAAGCTTCATTTTTGAAGTTTGTGTGATAGCAAGACTGTGATGTCATCCTCTCTCTGTATTTTGTAATATTCATCTTCCGAGGATGCTCTTATATTACACCTGTAATACTCTGCCTTTTTTGTCAATGCTCAATTTTCATTTTATGTAATGCAGGCGTGAAACCTAGATCCAAAGCACCTGGAAATAGAATGCAAGTTTCAATCAATCAATCATTCTGTAAGACTGACCAATGAGGGTTCACAGTTTAAATCTCCAAGAGATGAACCCTTGATCATCATGGAATAGAGTTACAGAATTTGAAGTTAGCAATATTTGAATGATCTATGCTTCACAGCTCGGGTGTATTACTGAATACAGGGAAGACTTTTGCATGAAATGTATAGTCAGAGACATCTTTACTAATCTGGTATACGTTATTCGAAAATGAGCTGTTGTCCAGAAATTTCAAGGAACATCATAAACATTTAATTTATCCATTGTCAAAGAAGTTAATGGCTAGATGTTGTAAGGTTTTTAAGACATTGATAAAGTGAAAAAAGCACTACCGCATTGATGTAAACTTTTGCACCCTTTTTTCGAAAGATAATCTGGAGCCGAGGTCAATGTTCTGTGGGTCACAACTGCTACCTTGCAGTCTGTCTCCCCATTCACTAGAGAGATACACTTAATCACAGGAAGGACATGGATACACCTTGATATTTTTGAGGCAAAATATAGCTTGATGCAGTTTAGCTCCGAGAGATAAGCATTTATTTCATTTCCTTTGGTTTATTTTTATTGTTATTCACATGCCCGTTCCCTTTTTCATACCTTTTTCATTTATTTTATTGCAAACTCTATGAGGATGTCTAGCGGTGCTATCTAGGATGTAATCTCTCGGCGTTCTAGAAGATAGAGTTTCGGTTCTCCAGTCTGATGTCTTGCGATGGAAACCAAGGTTACGGGAACCGCTAATTTGGTGCGCTTTGGCTTTCCTCCAGTGGGAAGTGCGCGTTGAGTTACCAAGCTTGGATCCTTTTCGTTTAGGGTTACGTGGCGTGCCAGGTGTTGAGTTACCTATCCATCAGTGAGTGCAGTATCCCGCAGAGACGGACCCTCTCTTATTGGCTGTGGGATCGGGGCAAGGGCGTAGTTCAAGGTGGAAGTCGGGGAGGGGGGCGATGGAAGGAGAGGAAGGGGCAAGATTTTTAATCAAGATTGCTATAATTTGGTTGAGGGAGTGAGAAGTTCATAACCTATCAGTCTTCCAATGCAGTTGTGATTGAGCAGAATGTCGAAGTACATGCAGTGTAGGATGTACTTGGTGTGACATATGAATCGTCTGATGGCTATGTGCTCTAGTCTATATCTTAGTTTTGATAATAGTAGTAGTATCTGGTTAATATTAAGCCAAATGTCACAATGTCTAGGTGTCTGAAATGTCATGTGAATTCAATTATTTTCTGGTTATTATTTCCTTCAGTCTGCATAATAATGGTTTCTAGGCCAAAAGTTGCCCATCAAACTTAACAATATTTGAAACATAACTTCCTCTACTTTCATGCTACAGTGTAAATGATATAGGAATGGTCACAATCGTTTATATGAATATGAGATCGGAAGTTTTTGCTTCTGCCATTTGCCAAAAAATGCTCTGCCAAAATAAGTACATACAGGAACTTGTTTCACAAAGCCTTTTAACCAATCAGAAGCAAGAATTCTGGTAGCTTATAACAACAACTGTCTTTTGTCACTGATGACAAGTTTTGTGAAACACCCCCCTGATCAAATGTAGGATATTGCCCAACACAGAAATCACAATTGGCAGTACAGCATGTGCCTAGTATCCTTTCTAGAGCATCTGCATTAAAGGCTATCTGTACACGTTTGGCTAGGAGGGATTAGACCACCCAGGGAGGTCACCTACAAATGGCTGTCTCAACTCAGCTCTCAATTAACATCAGAAAAAGAGGATCATGGGGGACCACTGGTCACCGACTAGGCATTATTTTCTATATAGAGGGAGCAAGTAGTACAGTAGGACTGAAATGATAAAGTGTGAATATACACCTCCTAACCTATCCTACCTCGCCCCCCTCACCCCCTCCCCTCCTGAGACCACCCTTGATTCATTATATGAACTCCAATGAGTGTTTACAGGTCTAATGTGTCAATACGTTTCCCCATTAGGACATGAAAGTTAAGGGCCAAGGGCAGAAGCCTGTGGGGAAATTAGTAGGCGATTTTTCAGAAATCGGATGTTGTGTCAGCCAATTAGGGTTTTATTTGGTGCCATTTACTTGTGTTCTTTCAAAATATCAAACCACCTTCTGCGTCAATACATCAACGTGTTGAGCAAGTTGATGGAAGTGGGTAATTGCATCGTATTTTCAGGCTTATACACAAATAAACACAGTGGTTTATGTATCATGTTTATAACTTGGCAGAGTATCAAAATATTATGGAAATGCAGTGATCTCTTTGTAAATACAAGGCACACATATATTTAGACTGCTCTAAAATCTGTCTTTCAATCCCTATCCTTTTAAATTTATTCTGTTAAATGTTGCAAATATCTATTCGAATGAAAGGTTTATTATTTGGCAAGACTTACAT